CGAGACTGGTAGAGAAAGGGACTCGGTCAACGTGTGATCGTTCGCGATCCATTTTGGTTCTTTGAGCAACAGGAGTCCAGGAGACCCTCAATCCGTCCCCCTCCGGAGGTGGAAACTTCGCGGTTCACATCTGAGAAGATAGTTCCGATCTCCGTGGACCTAAGCGATAACCAACAGTAATCGCTTCGGATACATATAACAGCTCAATCGAGATAGCCGGAACTAAATCTCTCCATGGCTAAGCAAAAGGTCCTGACATTTGCGGAATTCATGCACTTATAAGGCCGAAGGCTAGGGTTTCCTTACGATATTCTCGGTCGGGACATCAAAGCCCCCGATTTGGCGGTCGTCGCGGAGGATACCCTTCTGAGGTCGATCACAGTCTTCTCGCGCTCCTCGCCTAGACCCTAGACTATGGCTGGCGCGGTACAATATTCGATAATATGTATTTTACACGCGATATATTGCGTTGCAACATTACGTAGGGAAAATAGACGGGAATAGATCTTGCAGCGCAGTAAGGCTGAATCAATTCACGGTCAAGCTGATGGCCGACGCCTTATCCCAAGCCTTTCCGAAGGACTTTATACCGGGGGGAAGGAGTGATTGGCTGCCTCTTCGTGCGTCCGGAGGGGTAGGGGCGAACGAGATTACATCGATGCGGCCCCTCTTCTTTCTCAGCCAGGCGAGTGAGAAACAATGCACGAGCAGAAATGCTAACGATCGAATCAAGGTTCCTTTCACCCTCGGTGACCATATTGAATGGAAATTGGTGCGGAGTAACCGCGAGTCTTTTCAAAAGCGGTTCATGACCGCGGGTTCCTGCAGTACCCCATCGCCGTCTAATTTCGAGCCGGGAGGGCGAAATATTGTGTCTCCAGGAAGCGCGATTATTGCAAAGCACAATTCTGAATGAGCTCTCAGAGGTACATGGTCGTCCTCTCTTCAGATCGCTCTCATCCTTTGGGTTGACCCGTACATATATATGAACATGTAAGTCGCTCCATAGGAGCTGTCCTGGCCCAAGTTGATTGTCTCAACGGAGTCCAAGTGTCGTCTGCCCCCCCAACCCAAGGAAAAGCTCTGTGCTTACGACTAGCACGCTTCCACCTATTCCATTCGACCAAGGATAGCTGAAGTCTAGCACGCAAAAGTCGGTAGATATATCGTCGAAATTTCGGAAGGATGCTCTCAATGCGAAATGGATTGCTTGTCATCTGCCACGAAGAAATGACCTCCTGAGATGTTGATTGGACTGGCGATTGGAAAATTTCAATTTTTCTTCACAGACGCTTGAATGAACTCCAGAGGGCCCAGTTCTCCGTCCGTGGACTGTGAGCGAGTTAGAGCCGAAGAATGGCTCCTACTGCGGGAAGAATGCCTGAAACTTGAAGAAGAGCGTTCGGAGCTGTTGCAGTCAGAGATGAATAACGCCGGCCCTGCTGTATCGGCTACGGATAGCCGGTATTTCCGCGAGGAGCTCAAGTCTGTACTGATGCGACTGACCCCGCGGCTCCTGAGTCTGTGGAGTGAATACTTGGAGTTCGCTCATGAACATGACGAGGAAAAGCGTCGCCGAGAGGGATTCATAGAAGAAAGCAAGCGGTTCTTGGAAGATTTGAAGAATGCTATTGACGGAGAGGAATTTTCTGAGAACGACCTCCTCCGCGGTGGTCTCCGACAATGATTTCCTCACCGCCCATCGCTCCCAATCCTTCACGGAAGAGTCCGAGACAATAAACAGTTTCCCTCTCGGTCAGAAGTCAGGGATCCTAAATCTTAAGTCTTTCCTCAGACATTGCCGTAAGTCTTCGATGAGAGAGGGGGCTTGGCTGGCTCACATGGCTGATGACGGAGCGACCATCCAATCGAAATGCATCTAATCAATGGACCAATACGCATGACAACTCTCCTGCGACGAGAATATTGAAAGGTACGAAGCGGCGGCTGGAAATTGTCTCATCGTTCGTTCACGAACCTTCACGGCCCGAGGGATGCGGGGGACTCTTTCTCGAACAAACTTCAAACGGTGGATCACCATCGACTCCGGAGCCGTCTGTGATCTTCGAGGATGGGCCGAACTGGCATCCAGCGCTATTTCGATATGGCGAGCTCCGCAGGATATATTTCGCCTTCATTTTTCTGAAGTAGGTAGATTGAGCCATGCCCCCACTGACTGGGATTCAGGGAAAGCTCTGATGCGAGGACTGTAACATACTTCGCTTCAGGTGCTCCGCATCAAGTTCGCGTTTATCGCTCGATTGTCACCATGTCCTGTGCGTCGCCGGAAGTTTCATCCAACCCGCATTTTTTCCAACTTCACAGTATTCCAAGTGCCTATACCGGTTTTTCTAACGACCAATCGGTGGGGAGACTCCGGGATTTTCGGCTTTCGCGGGGCCAAAAGATTACCAGGAAATCCCAATCAGAGTTGACGAGATAACTTCTGCTCAGGATGAGGAACGCTCCCTCGATTCTGGAGTCAGTCGAATCGATCGAGAAGAGAGCTGTGCGCCGCTCCGAACATTGCAAGTTCCATAGACTAGAATAGTTGAGCGCCGTGGGACGCAGCGCAGCTCGAATGGAGAACGAGGCATCTGCAGACCGAGGATATGATGGGGCCGCTCTCGGCACGAAAGAGAATCAGAATGAAGAAATCACCTTATGGAGCTGGGCGGTCTCACTTGTGGGGCAGAGCGAAGCTCATCTAGCTACGATCCATGTTCTCACCGTCGAATTATCGATCGAATTAGGAGCCCCTGCAGGCGCCGCGGTGCGGAGCGCGGCTCGCCTTGATGGTCCGATACACCCCTGAATTCCCAAAGGGTCGCCGCAAGATATCCGAATAAGCTTCCTCGAGAATTTCGATAGGTGTTGCTTCTAGCTTTGATCGAGCTGCCAAAGAGGAGCATGGAACTCAAGTTTCCAAAGTCGTATGGTTTCACGTGTTCACTGCGCCTCCGCCGCGTCGACCCGGGTAGCACTCTGTTCGTACTCGAGCTCCGATTGTGAGGATGGTCCGGGAACTCATACCTGGAGTCACAAGGGTGGATGCTCATCCGATTCATACAAATTTTATTGCACTCAAAGCGAATCGTGGAGATCCTATAGATTCAGAAGTCGAAATTCTACGATCCATCATCCATCATTAGTAGCATGTACATTGCGAATTGAAGTATCCCGTACAGGAGGCTCCCGACTTCAACATGGACTGGCAGTAACTCAGGCACTGGAGGGGGTTCGTTGGACATCCATAACCCCACGCGTAGGTTATCGCTGGAAAATTCGAAGCAGCACATTCTCATTCCGATGATCCATGTCACGGCCTAAAAATGCTGACATCACCTCTGACCACTCAAGTCGCCGCTCTCTGGAGAGCTCTCCGACTCTCTCTCGGAACAAGCGCGGATGAGATCGCTGATCACCTGCGCACCCTATCTCCGCACGCCGAGAGCGACGCGACGCCTCCCCGTTCATCTGTGGCTCGAGAGTATAATGCGACGTGTCTGCGCAGAAATCTTATCATGGGTGCAGTTGGGCACCCAGAATGAATGCCCATTTCGAATCAACGTGGTGACGACCTCTTCCACCTTCTGAGCCACCATTAACAAGCCTCCGAAATATCCAGAGAGATTTCACAAGGGTGTGCCAATTTACTGTTCGAGTATCTCTTGATACTATCGCGCCACTAAAATACAATCAATTTTCACGTCGCACGTCGTGAAATATCATCATCATGGCGTACTCGCTCAGGATGTACTCGGATGGCTCCCCCTCAAGCATCGATGCATTTTATATTTATCGGCGTCGATTCGAATTCGGCAAAGGGATCGAGTTAGCGGGGTTAACATGGCCGGATAGTCCGTCAGACTCCCCGCGTGACTCGGAGCACCGGTGGGGGACCGTAAGTTTCATGAGGGATTCGTGACTCACCTATCGAATGAAAATAGAGCGAAAACACTAAAACGAATCTGACAAATGAAAAAGGATCATCGAGCAATTTCGGTCGCTGCATATGGTCATTTCACCGAGGCTCATGTTCGAGTTGACAATGACAGGCCCGTGGATCCCTGCTCATCCCCCGCGGTGATTCAACCTCCTCTCAGCAGCATGAGTCCGACAGCGCGCGACGCATGAATGCAGTCGACTTCCGTATATTCCGATTTGATCAGCGCGATCTCTACCGGCAGATCGATATTTAGGATCTCCATGCGATCCTTTCACGTTTACGCTTCTATTAGGAGTACTTTCGCGATTATATCCATAGTTATTACTCCATTACTCTGGCAATACTCTGGATCTATGAGCTGGAAGCGAGCTTCCTGTGGAAGGATCACGTCTTTCTTCCTACAAGCCTCGTTACCACAGTCTTGTCTGCCTCCCAGCTCCACCGCGTGAACCGCCTCGAAACGGCTTCCGTCTGAATATACGAGAACTGTCACGGACCCTACGTCATTGGATATTCCGGATGAGTTCACACAAGGCTCGTCAAGCGACATCAAAATTTGATTGATGCCTTGTCCATAACAACAAGGCCGCGTCAGAGGTTGAACAAAAGCAAATATGTCTTTGGTGGAGAGATCAAGCAAACGTATCGACGTGCCACGGAACGATTGCGAGGACGATCAGTGAGAAACAGGAAGCTCGGATTCCGAAATTCTCCATCCAGCCATTCTTCTTCCCATTTAAAAAAGAGCTCCAGATCTTGGGCATTGGGACGTTCTATTTCGCGAGATCTACAGCCAGACGAGCTCGACGTGACGTCGAGGGTACGACGCTAGTTTATTCCTATATTCGGTTCTCGAGAATTGTGGCGACACTATCACCATCTTGTCGGCCGCGCTATCGAGCTCTTCTATATCGGACATGATGAGACCTAGAGCATGAAGCATGAGTAGGACGGCAGTCACCGTGTGGAACTTTAGACGATCGACTTTCATGTCGCCCTCATCGCTGAGCCACTGTTTTTAATTCCTGAGTTTTGGAGTATCTCCGAGAATCGCGGAGCCGCCACAAAGCACATCGTATGGATTCCTCCAACACTTCATCTAATCATTGAGAAAGGTGGCAGCCTCGATGAGTTAGGTATAGACAGCACAAGAGCAGGATCGTCATAAACTTCAAGTCAGGAGACAAAATGGTGCCTGAGTTGTCAAGAACCCAATCGTGGTAAGTTGAGACTCGAGTGAAAACCGTCGGGTGGCTATCACCGCAGTTCGCAACGCCGAAGCTTGTAATTCCCGTCAGTACCTTGAGGGTATAGGGGAGTCTGAGTGGGGTTCTTCGAATCTTACACGATATTCAGCCTGCGGACCTCTTCCGATCAAATGACATACCGGTACTCCAACCCCGTTCAGGCACACCAAAGGACCCCCAGAGTCTCCGTTGCAGGCTGCTTTGCCGTTCCCGCCTGCGCATATGTGCTTTTCGTCAATGACAACGTCCCTCACGTCCATGTAGAGTCGACGGCATTTCTCCCTGAAAATCCGTGTACAGGCTCAGATTTATGTCAGTTCTGCAAGAGAACGGATCTCGCCGTTCTGATGTCCGAATGCCCCACAGGATTCCCCATTTCACTCGCCTTGCCTTCCACTCATCCATTCCAGATCAAATCTGCTCGACTCTGAGGGGGATGGGAAGCCGGAGAGAGTAGGAGGAGGACTTGTTCCCCGAAACGGGGAAAAGAAAGAGAACGAGGAAATCGGGAAACTCGAGCAAGTTCCAGAGTATCTTAATTCCACGGGTCATGGAATTCTACAGAATGAAGCCAATGAGCGAATCATCGTATTAGGCTACTCGTTGGGCGCACGAATAAGAGGGAATGTCCTCCGGTGCTCGCGAGCCATCTTGAGAAATTCTCGAATCGAGGATGGGAAATAATTGCGAGCACTCACTGATTGACCAGGTCCAATTTCACTTTCCGGAGTATCAGAGGGTATTCATCTTCGTTCGCGGACGTCGTTCCCCATCCTGACGTAACACAATTCGATAGACTACCATTCTCCGCCATTTGGATCGGCATCAGAGACGGGGATAGTGTGAAATTTCTGTGCAATTTTATCACAGCGATGTCGTTCTGAAAAATCCGTGATCACTTTGAGAAGGGATCGAATCGATGGAACGAGTCTCCCAGGATTAATTCAGCGAATTCTTCGGATGCATTGGAGTCATTATCGGCTATAGCTTATACGAGAACTCGCTCGAGACTCCCAGCGAAGTCTGAATGAACCAACCCTGATAATCGTAGAGTCGTACTCGGGATGTACTGTGATGTTTCGGGGATAGCCTATCTTGTGTCGGAAACTCTGCAAATCATTTGAGCCAGCCACAATTCGGTATTCGGCGTTCTCCTGTAACGAGCGGAAGATTTCCACTTTCTTGAAAGAAGAGCTTTGAGAGCGCTCATCGTCGATGTTTAATCCGCCAGGCTCTCGATGCTTCCAACCTGTATGCAGTGAGCGGCGGTGACGACAAGGGAGGGACTGATTAGGGTCCCACCGCAGACGTGTACGTGTTTTTCCGTCCAAAAATTCGAGACCACTTTCTGCGGAGAAGAAGGAAAGCTTCATTGACGATCAAACAGAGGACCGAGCAGGAAGGCGAATCCTCTTGGGAAGATCCCTCGGCAATTCATTTCCTCCCGGTTCAATGATCGAAACATCTTCGTCGAGAACGACGTCACGAGCTCTAGCATGCGACAGCTGAGAGCATTCTCGCCGGAGCTCCCCGCAGAGATCCTCTGAATGAATCGGACAGACCCTTGGTCGGTTCTCACTCTTTCGAGGAGCTGATGGCGGTATCCATACCTGGAGGCTGACTTGCCATGGGAAGGAGTTGGGTGGCGCTGGATCGCCATTGATAATGTACAGATCTGCATTTCGAGGAGCACTGACACCGAGACCCACGGCCACCGCGAATACTTGGGAGAAGAGAAATACTTTAGCACGGAACAGTCCAACTTGTGGCAGCAATACTCGGCGGGATTCATGATTGCGAGCGTTGTACCGAGTGATTGGAACCGGAAAGCGAACATTGAGGAGCGTTGAACAATAGAACCGCCGCGGGACTGGTGGGATTTGCTGGCCGGCGTTCTACCTTCTGTACTCCCAAATGCGCTGCGATTGCGTTGGCGCGCCCTTTGATTCTGTCGATATTATCGTTGAGCAGACCATGACGTTTTAAGCATTTGATCGACGATAGTTCTTCTGTTCAAGGTTATCGAAATTATGGAGCGCACATTTTCGGATTCACGGGGAATTTCACACAAATGCATTCGGATCCATGCCATTCCAGCCTTCGCACGAGTTTCTACGCGGCGAGGGAGGCTTTCTTCATTCATTCTTGACATTGAGCCAGAGCTGATAAGCAGATGTGAGAGTTCGTCCGAACCCGACCGATCTCCCGGGAATAACGCTGCAGTGAACCTCGGACCGGTGGGGGTCTTCCCCCGCCCAGGCTGCTCCGTGCTCCACCTTGGGAATCCGAAACAGGAGCTCCCGAGGGCATTGAGAGACGAAGCCGCCAACTCCCGTGCGCTCTTAATGATGCGTCAATTGTGATCAGTTAAAGTCGATTAACCGAAGGATCCCTCAATCTAGGGTTCCAGTTCCCATCCAGAGGGGTAGTCCTCACCACCCGTCGTCGGTCGGCTATTACTCAAGAGTTATTATCTGAAAAGAATACAATTACGCTACTGCTGCCGGATGTGATCGTCTCCACAAAGTCGAATCGGAGTCTATGAGCGGGAGAGACACCGGGCAGAGGGAGACGACGCGACTCGATGAGAGCGAGGAATCTCGATCGTTCGTAAGGGGCAAGACATAATATAGCGCATAATCGCAACATCCGGGGCACAAGCGCGATGCACAAGCCCTCGCCAAATCGGTCTTCGAAGTAGAGATCTCACTGGATTCATCGAACTTTGAGTGGTGGAACCGGTTGCCGCATGTTCGTAGGTGGAATGTGAGTTTATGAGTTATGGGAATGAATTATAGGAGACAACCATGGGTATATGTATAGTCCGACACCCGAGCGTCTTTACTTGAAACTTCGAGGAGACGATGAGCTCATTCTCGTCCTTTCAACCGATCTCGGGGGTTTCGTTGTTTGGTACTGGTTTTCTCGCCATGAGGACCGCAGGTCGAATCGGTGGCTTCGTAAATGCCATGAAACTCGGATCCAGCTCAAAAATGCTCTCTGATGTTATAGTCGAGTAAATCACAACCAGCGTTACAATTAAAGTAATGCCGATGTGAAGCGCGGGACATAGGCTCTGGAGGCGAAATGCAATGGGTTCCTGTGGATTTCGAGAATAGTATTCCATCGGGGGAAGAGAGCAGAACTCCTGGGTATCAACCACGTTGCTCACAATCCGCGTCAGATCAGCTCTGTCGGAGATTCACCTCAAGTTTATCATCCGTCGGGAAGTCAGGGTGTCTAAAGTCAGCCAGCTTGATGACCGCAGGTTCTTTGTATTTCGGTTTTGAGCTCGACGATAAATCCTTGGTCCGAGTGTCCGAGTCCTCTCTCCGGTGGAAGACGAGCCTTGCGAGGGAATAGTTCGTTAAACTGATTGAACGCTCCCGATACGCAGCTCATCGAATTCTGTTTTCACTAGCGGTGGGCTCACTTTGAATCCGGCGCTCGAGAGCCGGTCGCGGTGAGAGTCAAACCCGCGCTCTTTGCTTCCAACGTGTTTGCTCTTTCCTTCGATATTTCAGCGGGCGGATTCGAGCTCAAAGTCTCGATTTGACAATAGTTCAAGTCGGGTACAATGCTCATTTTCATCCATAATGCTCGGCCTCGAGGTGAGGACATGATTCCTCCTCACTCTACGTATCGAGCGACGGAAATTTTCACTCACCTGCGACAACCTTTCCCGGCCTTCATCGTCGATGTCCCGCATGAGTCCACATCCACCGCGGAGCATTTTCCGATTCGGAGGTCTACTAGTTCCACCACCGAGCAGACTATGTTATGGTATATGGCGAACGACGAATCGTCGGATGAACGTGTCGTAAGGTCAGAATTCTCGACTATTTCAGCTGAATAACGTTGTTGGCCGCGGCTTCGCTGTAACAACGATACCTAGAAACGATTTCAAAGGAAATTGCCCATGGGTACACTGAGCACGAATTGCCTTGAGAGAGTTGTCAGAGTTCTAAGGGAATTCAAGATAGAGGGACCCCGATAAAGTGGATAGAGCTCGGGGGGATCGAAGTTCCCGGCGTCGAGTTCCTCAGACGGAGTAGAGCTCGTATTGAGTTTTCTTCCGGTGGTAATGCTTGCTGTGCTCTCCCCGATGAGAACACCCCGGAATGGATAGAATATGCTGAGCTTCGGTCAGCCAGGCTGGGGTTGGGATGTCTACGCTTAGCCGTAGTAAGCAGAAAGACAGAAAAAAGTGACAAGAGTTGAGGATTCTCGGACCTCATCTTCGTCAACAAATTCCTACGAGACTGTCATCCCTCATTTGGGATAGCTTCTTGCTCTGCTCCACAAAGCGCATCCCTGGATGATCCGGGATATTCGAGTTGTCATTCTGTCATTTTTCGAGTTTTCTGCTTTCTCTAAACGCTAGAAAGTCTCATCTTGGCTGGGATTCGTGATAAGGAGTGGAGGCTTTCTGGGCAGTCGCTCAGAAAACGTCGCGCGTCGCCTCTTGTCGCGAGGAATGTTGCACGGATCGTTATCCCTGACCGATCTCGGCTCGTGATTTCCTGTTTCCTCGGATCTGAGCGAGTAATCAATCAGGAATTCCGAGACCCCATGGTGTCGAAGATATATCAAATAAGGAAGAAATGAGTCTCGGTAGTTAGCCTCATACTGAACATCGGGAATGGTTGAAGTCTCATACAGAAGATGGAATGGCGGGATTTCTAATCTTGCAAGAGCTGTCGGGATGCAGAATGAGTCTGATTTTAATTTATTCGAGTAAATAATTAAAGCCATCAGCATCTGGTAAATTCGATAATATTGGAGAGCGGACCAGACCCGGAGGGTTGGGTCGATGCCGACCGCTACTAGTGAAAGCTGACGGCGTTGTGGAATGGCCCGGCGTTCTGCGAAGAAAAAATATTTTTTTAATAGCTGGGTAGGGTTGTCCGGCGTACAGATCTTCACTGATGAGCCCTGTCGCACAAGGTACAGAACTCTCTTCCACGTACCTGACGATTCCTGGAGCCATGCGACAGCACATTTTCATTGAAGCCTCCTCCAGCGTTCCTTCGGAAGTTGCCTCGGCTACGGAAGCCATAACGTTGATCGTTCGAGACTCGATGGTAGTCGTAAAGCTGTTGCACCGTATCCAAGCCGAAGGTCTCGATGTTTGGATTCCTGGTTCGTTGAGGGAACCACGGCTTTCGAGGACCCATGCCAGCGGAGTTACTCAAGTTGTCGAAGAAAGATTTCTGCTTATCGTAGGGACTCGAAACGAGATCATCATCTTGAGGTATCTGCTTTTCGGGGCTTGTCTCCGGTGATTGCTTCTCAGGATCGAAATCTTCGACGGACTCATTCAACTTAAGTTGGGTGAATTCTTCGATTCCCTTCTCGAAATCGAACTCCTCCAGAGAATTGCCGGAAGCTCCGGGGTTTCTTTGAGGGAAGCTGCCCTCGCTCTTGGCTCCTAGACCGATCCAATCATTTCGAAAAGATCTGTTCGAATTTCCGAAGACTCGTGGACCGCGGGTGAAGGTCCTCCCTCGCGAGTTCAAGTCTCGCAGCGGGCCCCGATGGAATTCTTGCTCGTTCCACTGGAAATTTGTTGGAGAACCGATTAACCCACGGAGACCCCTGGGCTGAATGAATATTTCGTTCTGTTGGACCGGTGATCGAAAGATGGAGAGCTCACGTCGTGGCGGTCGTTCCGGCGATTCCCATGGACATTGACGATAGCAGGGTCTCTGAGATCACGGAAATCTGCAAGCCAAAGTTATCAGAACGTAATCGAGGGCCTCAACTGAGTGATTTCGGGCGGCTCAATGATCTCTGGGACGAGGTCACTCACCAACGACGCTCAAACTATTCACGTCGCCAGCGTCGAATTCGACGCATTCATATGTGTCTTGCACAGCCGGGAAGAAGTCTTCCGCTCGACGATTCTCAGTACCGAAAGCTTTCACTGAAATGCCATACGCTGGAGATTTAGATCCGGGAACTCAAGAGTTCGTCTGCAAGAGAGCACCCCTGCTTCGCGATAGGGGCTATCCTGCTTCTCGCTTCAATTCCAAGGATGACGGCCCCGAGAAATCTTCCTTTCCGTGCACATGTTTCACACAGCAATGCTATCGGCAACCAACTCGGATTCCCTCTTCGGGAAAAACTGGCCACTCACCATCACTGAGAGTGAAAGTTTGCTTCTCGTTGTTCATCGTTAGATAATTTCCCTCGTAGCGGCACAGGGAGCGCGTGATGACCGCTACTCTGTCTCCTCGTCTGACCGGCATTTCGACCTCTTTTCTGATCCGGTTTTGAAGTAGTTTTCCGAAGAACCTATTCGCACTGGAGGGGATTCGAGGAGCCGCTGCCTCGATAGCTGACAGAAGTGATGTGACGTGCCTTGGATAATATGCGGTGCACGTGAGAGATCGCTACTGCGCTTCCCAGTCAGCGTTGTCTCTCACACATTCATACTGCTTGATTATAAAAGAACTCCAGCAAGACACGAAAACCAGGGACCGAGTATTCACTGAATTGAATAACCATGTAATCGATCTCTGCTCTATACAAATACCTCGATTGTTGCGACATTGGATGAAAACGATGTGCCGGAAAGGCTTTTCAGGACTTCGCCAGGACGGATCGGAGCTGACTTCACGAGATCCGGGACTGGGACATCAGAATCCCCCTTCGAAGTCGCTTGGATTCCCGAGTCTGTCTCGAGACGATGGCATGGACCGCCTGGAAACGCCATCGGATAAAGCTTGCGGTCCCAGGATCCGTAGCCGTAGGGAAGCTCTCGGAGAGCATCGAGCGGTTGTCCGTGACAAAGTCAACAAGTCCGTGAGAAATGGTCCTTCCTGAGTTTTGGAATTGCTCTCACTCAGTCAGTGGTCGGATATAGGTATGCCTTTCCATTGAATCGCTTATCACAGACCCTCCGAACCGGTCAATCCCTCCCGACACCGTCAATCCCCGACATTGCATTCTACATGGCTCGGGCCCGTGTAATTCCGTAGTCCAACGATTCATTCCGGCATGTGTCCGGCGCATCGTCCCTCCCGCTGCTCGGTTGGAGGTTTGGTGATCACAACCTGATCTGATTGTGAGGATGAACGGCGAAATCATCGAATAGCGGGGTCAGGAGAAACTAGAAGTACAAATACGGGCATCCTCGTCAAGGATACGGAATGCAGTGGGCCCATTCCAAGATGATTTCGGCCTCTGCTGAAACTCAACCCTTGTGCGATACTAATCCGCGGGGAACGTGCCAGCAAAGGCGGCGTGCTTCCCTGGTCGACAATGAGCTTAGCGATGACGAGATGACATTTGGGCAAATGCTTTCGGTAAACGATGGAACGGGGGGTGTGGCGTTTGGTCGCATTGGCTGACGACATATGTGGAAGTCGAGACCTCAAGCTGAATAGGCGGTCCTCCGACCCCTCTGCATCCTTCAAAAAGGGTCTCCCTCGAACAACAGCCTCTCAGCTGAAACATTGGATTCGACTGTCGCCATCATGAAGCTCGTCCTTTCAGTGATTCTATTTTCCGTGAGTTTATCCCCTCTGATTCGGCGTTCGGCGTCTTCATCGATAACCGCTGAGGGTTCTCGACAGCAGCTACTCAGGAGAGATTTCTTTGCAGTTCCTGTGGGGAGCTCATCACTGCTCGCCGAGACGAATATTCATGTTGAGCTTCCCGAGGACAGGCGTTCGGAGCCATCTAGCCCACTTAACGATGCCGGACCGCAACGCCGAAAAGTATGTTATGAAGTGCCGATGATGTTCTGACACATCTGGCCATCTGAATAGTCACCTTCAGAACCGAGATGAACGGCGTCTTGATTCCATCGGTTTCAAAGCTCTTCAATCCGACAGGGAACGTCCTAGCGCTGCGACGAAGCGCAACATCGCTGCCATGGCGCGTGACAACCAAATTCCAGTCACGAAACGTTTTGAGGAAGACGTCATTTTCGAGGACGACGGGGAATTCTTCCTGCAAAAACGCGACTATGGAGAGGAACTCGGCACCGATGCTGCCTACGACGATCCTCGAGACAAGAACGATCGTAAAATTTGTGAGTTGCTCTCCCTCATGAAAACCTCCGTGAACGCTGCTACTCGTATACGGGGAACAAGGGTGGATCCAGTCTTTTTTCTTGGGACAGGGGCAAGTCATATTTTCAGGGGGGAAAGAGCCGAGAATGATGGCGCGCCACCTCGCGGCCCATGCTTTTGTATAGGGATCGAAGATTCTTGGGGGGGCATGGCCCCCTGCTCCCCCCCCCGGATCCGCCACTGACGGGGAAATAGATTGAAGGTTCATTCATTCTCTAGATAAACGCGACGAGGAAGCCATGAGCCGAAACTACGATCGGAGCCACGATATGGTTCCGATCCTCAAGTCCATCAAGTATGGGTATGTTGAAAAGCGCCTGATTCTTCCATTCATTTCATCTAAGATCATTCCCCGTAGCCGCGATGCTGCATCCGGTCGCTCCTCAATACGACATTCCCGGAATACTTTTCCAGGCAGGGTTGACCTCAAGAATAAGCGGAACCTGCATCGAGGAGAGGAACAATCTCTGAAAATTCATTCAAGCTTACACGCAGGCGGTGAGACGGAATGCGGCCTCATTATTATCTTGAGTAGGCTAGGAGCACTTTCCGAATCCCCTCCCACACCTCGCGGCGCCTTCGCGCGAACCACACTCAGCCTCACCGAGAATCAATCGCTGCACATTCTGTTATGTCACATTAGTGGAGCCTGATCGCCAGACTGGTTATCATCAATGGAAATGGAGAAAACAATAAAGGAAAAAATACCGAGCTCTCTTCTTTTCGGATAATATATGTCGCTGTAAGACACTCCCGTAAAAAATGTCCACCGAATATGGATTAAATTAGGCTGGACGGCCCGGGATACATCCCGCGACGCTTCCTCACAGCCAGCAATATTCCAAGCGCAACGATACGTTCATGCATCCAGCTGGGATAAGTAGATGCCCCGAAAGGAGGGGGTACAACCGATCCCTCCCTATATGCCAGATCTGCTGCATAGGGAAGACAAGCGAAATAGGATATCCGGTATTTAATAGGAGAGCATCGGATTAGCCTCCCGTATTGGTGCATCGTCCTGAATGTACATAGATAAATACACGCATCAAAATTGTCATGCGCTCAGCTGTTCTGACGATATGACTAGCCGATGAAGTTCATGACGACTAGATGGAGGACCACATGCGCGAAGATGAAGTCACCGAAAGCTCTTTGCGTTGACAATCCGAAGAACTCGGCCTTGTTCGCTGGATTGGATTGAAGTCGCAGACAAACTGAAATGGGAGAAGGAATTCATTAGGAGGTTTCGGGAGTTCGATCTCGATTCGCATAGGCATTTGGAGACCGAGCTCCGAATAATGTACCAGGAGCTGGGCGCAATGAGGCTCCCAGTCGATACGACTACCTGAGACTTCTCCAACACTCACCAGCAAGAACGAAGGAGGCGACACAGCTAATGAATCCAGCCAGGAAGCTGTTGAACGGAAACGTTCCAACCAGGCAGCAATAGACGAACTGCACGATCCCCGTCAGCAAAACATAAAACAAGTAGGCGTCAATCAGCTTCAACCGACTGCTCGTGGACTGCTGGTACTCCGAATAGAAGCGCTGGAGGACAGCGATCAGGTTAGTGTTCTTCGTCGGGGCCATCTCAATCGACTATGCTGTCGGAAGGCGAAGAATTCTCTGACAGATCTATCGAAGCTGACACCCGGCACAATGATGACCAGCTACGTGGCTTTGTTGGTACAGATCCCGTCGCTTAGAGATAAACGACGGACCGGGATGTCCAACACTGAAAACGAAACCACTCGATATCGAAGAAAAACACGCGACTACCTGTGTTGTTCCCAGCTATCCTCGCGGAGTTTGCGCCGGAACTCAAAATGATCATCCCAGTACGCTGTTTCACCTGCGGGAAAATCATTGGCAATAAGTGGGAGGCGTATCTCGGTCTTCTGCAGTCGGAATACACCGAGGGAGACGCCATGGATGCTCTCGGCTTGAAGAGGTGAGAGGCGGACTCCCTTGTGGACACTGTAGTCTCTCTTCCTTTTGGATCGATAAGGACCCAGTCTGACTGGGGGCGAGTTTCCTCTATTGGCACCATTAAATTGCCCGATCCAGGGATCTTATTGAGTAACGAATTCACAAAATTCTCAGGTACTGCTGCCGTCGTATGCTGCTCGGTCATGTCGACATGATCGAGAAACTTCTTAACTACGCTCCGTTGGAGAAATGAAGCTTTGTATCATTCGAAATATCGTGGTGGCTGTAAATTGCATTTGTAAATAAACTCTCTGAGCTGTCTCCCGTGACCCGTGATGCATTCGACCGGATGGGGTGCTCTAGCTGGCCGTATACCTCGGACTCGATACCCAGTCATAGGTAGAGTCAGTCGACTCGTTGGATTCATGCTCGGGAATCGATGCCTCCTCCTCAGTTGGACCTTCTGACCGGATCGTACGCTTCAAACACACGGGCTGTTCACTCGGAGACTGTACCTGAGTGAAGATCGGCTCGAGACCGTGATCGCGCAGGGACATTGCCCGACTGGGTGGCGCCTTGCGAGCCGGACTATTGCCGCAGTTGCAAAGGAGTCGCGACTTCTGCTGAGGGACGACGTTCGTTACGAAGAGGATCACCTCGCCAGTTGTGACGTTTCCACGCATAGAGGGAGAAGTCAAACGGAGGCGGACTGTCAGACCGACTTACTCAGCACTCCCACTCCAGCTTCGAGCCGCAGCTCGATGACAACGATTCCTCGGAAGAGTCTCCCGAGCCTCCCCTCCTCTCTGACGACAATCCGATTCGATTTAATTATTCGTGGGAGTGCAAACGCAGGGTCAGGCAGATCTGCGGCCGCTGATAATCGAGAGAGCAATGGACCTGAGAGGCGTCTCACTGGGGTCGGCGATTACGCGATTATCCCGACGCAGATGAGAGTATCTGTCATTCGAGAGATGGCGAGATCTGCGGAATTACAAAATACATTGCGGAGACTCAAATCATCGATCAATTACCACGAGATGCGGTTGCATTCGATGATGACGTCGTTGGAAAAGAGAGAACTCAGCAAGAAGTCGCGTCTGAGGCTCAGACTCTTGAAAGGTTCGCTCATTTGGGGACTTAAATTCCGACAATTATGTTGGGATGATGATCGGTGATGATGGGGCAGTGATGATGATCCCCTGATCGGATTGTTAGAGACTCAGCCCGAGCTCTATCGCAGAGGAACTCGATGCCAAGCGAACGAATTGCTTCCCGAATGACGATGATATTGGAAGTCCCAAGGCTATGGCTCGCATTCAGCAGCAAATGAAGGGATTGTACAAAGCGACGGTCTTCTGGTTCACGGTGATGCATTCGGTTCTGTTCGGTCTGGTGCTCTCGCTCACCGTAGAAACGAGCGAGGGGGAAGAGCCGGAATAGTAGGATGTTTGACGCATGGAAGGGATCGATGTCATCGATTTCACATGGAGATCAACCAAGCCGCCCCCGGGTGGGTGCACCTTCGACATGACAACCAATATGAAGGAATCTAGCTCTATAAAAAAAATCTGTAATCCGCTAATCTGGTATCCTGAGTTGGTATGACAGTCGTTTGATTTATACTAACGAGCCCGGAATCACTGAGTCATCCTTATCCGTTGATGGACAGGGAAGACTCTTAATCGGGATCGACAGGGAGTCGGCTATCGCTTCATCTTTTCATAAACACGTAGTTTCGTGCATTCCGTGCCGGAAACGAGGCTCTACAGCGTAGTCCACAGAGCCGCAAACCGCGCTTCGGACCCTCTCGCCAGCGACTCTCCTTCCTTAATTCCGGGGAGAGGGAAAAGGCGAGAATTCATAACATTCGATGTTGTTGAGACCGATCTGATATCGGCCGAGTCCGGCTGTCATACGCAGGCTGTCATTGATACTGTGAGACTCCCATCGAATCAAAACTCCAAACATGGTGCTTTGTGGTGGAATTGGAGCCTTGAAGGAAGTCGACGACGAGTGCCGAGAAGTGTTGGCGCATGTGAGTTTGAATGCCGCTTCGACAAGTAGTAGTTCGCTTCCGCGATGCTCGAGTGCGTGTCAATAGAAATTCCTAACTTATTTTCAGGTCCGCGCCGAATGCGAAGGTAAAGCCGGAAGACAGTTCTCGCACTTCGAGCCTGTTCATTTCAAAACTCAGCTAGTCAATGGAATAAATTTCTTCATTAAGGTGAGCGCAAAAATCGAGATTCCCGGCGTTTCAGTCGTACTCACGGCTGCGGGAGGTCTTATACTGTTATTTCGAGTCGCATGTGACACATATTGATATTGACTCACGCTTCGCTTTTTCCTAATTGACCATCGGCGTCGATCCGACTGCTGATTCCTATGCGGAGCCTCATTTCGATTACGGTCTGGCTGACTTCGACCGGGAAAATTTATGCGGACCCGTTTAATTCAGTCATGCGATCTCCCAAATCATTGAACAAGTTCGACTTGAGGCAGATTTCAGGGGAAACCGTTGCCCCGTATCCTCGCCCTGTATTACAATGAGATGATCGTAGCTGACTCATAACATGTCAATCCATCATTTGGAACTGGAACATTCGAACAATGTCGTCTCTGACGGATGCTCCATCCCGAGCTGCAAGTGTGAACGGAAAGTTCCTCTAGAATCTCCGGGATCATCGTAATCTCTTGGATAGGGATTATTGGGCCTCCGGGTCCGGGATTTTCCACGGGATTCCGGAATTCGCATTTTCTCCGAGAGTTCGAACGAAGAGCAAGCCGTCGAGATCTGTCGGTATTCTGTGGGGAACTCACGCCTCGGACCCAAAGGTTAATCCTTCTTCATTTCAGGCGAAAGTCGGGGAAAGCGATTTCATTCACGTCCGCGCACACAAAGCCTTCGCCGGCGAGATCACCCTGTGGGGTATCCAGGAAGGGAAAGCTCTTGAGGAGGAGGTCGAATATTTTCAATGAATCGTTTCATTGTCCCATCTTATGGTCCCCAGTCGGTGCGGACGATGTATATGATCAATAAAGGCTCCTAATTCCTCTTTTAAAAAACCGTGTGGACATCTGTTCTCAAGACAGACTCGTATCAAGTAGATGTATGTCCATGACTCATTACTTCATCCTGTGTGAAGTTTATAAATGCATGGTTCTTCCTGCCGTCCCTCCTCGTACGAAAGCCTGACGGAAGCCTCAGCTAGTAGATACGTGATTCAGATGGATAATTATCGGGGAATATGCTGTTCGGAGGCTGGTGTGATTATCGCATGAGTCTTGCCGCCGCTCCTGGAGTCACCGGAGTGGTTGTCGATCTCGGCCTCGAATGAATGCCTCGCAGCGCGATTCCCGAATGTCTGCAAATCGTGTCGGGAAATGCACTGCGGTAAGGTAATATTTTCAGTCTCAAACTTCTGTACAAGGCGATCCGTGAGAAAAATCAAGCGACTGACACGCTGCCGTAGTATGTTTGATGACCGCCAGAGGCGCTGACGTTCCTGAGAACGCCTCCCGCACAGCTCAGCCCCGTGTGACGGTCGGCAACGAACGAATGGCCTCTCTGACAGTTTGCAGCGAGCACCGTGCTGAACACTGAGCATTTGTCGAAGATGGAAGACGTTCCCGTTCTCGGTGGTTTAGGAGAAACCAAAGAAGTATCTGATGATGTGCGAGATCTCACCGAAAAGGTAAGTCTGCGCTCCATAGACACGAAAGCCGGTTCCCGTGAAACCCCTGCACCTCACCATTCGAACTAGTAGAAAAACAAACGGAGCCCAATCCGTCGACGAGCTCCTACGTCTGGCGAGGAGATGGGAGCCTTCAAGTCGTTTCTTTTCCGAAAATGGAAGCTGTTATGCGCCGATTCAGATTTTTGCCATCTGCGAGATGTCACCTAATTTTAATAAGCGTGACCTCGTCGTGCAGGTGCGAGCTGAAGCCGAGGAAAAAGCCGGCAAGAAGTTCGAAGTATTCGAGCCAGTGAAGTACAAGACCCAAGTTGTGGCCGGAACCAACTACTTTATCAAGGTAGGTCTGTGAGAACGTGGTGTTGCGCTATATTTTCCCAGGGCATCCATGACTCATATCTCTAACAGTTGGTTGCCTAGAGGATAGGCTGGTTGACTGTCAATCCCAAGGTCACTTCGACGATGCGTCATATTCGTTCTGAGCATGGTTCGGTGCGGAGAACGGCGCGGCGTGGTTGATGTTCAACTTGACGAGAATCTCTCCCATTCTGCTTTTTCGAACATCGCTCTCATACGGAGCTTTCCATCTTTATAGTTAGGCTGAAACTCGAGTTCAAAACTCGAAAGCTCACTCTGACAATATTTCCCGGATTGCAGGTGAAAGTCGGGGAGGACGATTACATCCATGTACGCGCTCACAGATCCCTGAAAAATGAGGTTTCTCTGTGGGGAGTCCAGGAGGGCAAGAAGGCTGAATGTGCTATAGAACATTTTCAATGAATAAAGTGAGCAGTTCCGTCAGATCGAGGTGTTGTTTCTGACGAAAATGATCGGCCTCGGCAGCGGAAAAGCCATGGGTTCGAAAGACTATCCTAAGGGAGAACTCCTATTAGAGAGAGCGACCGCAACACAAATATTGGGGATACGTTTGTCACGCACTTCGACGCCGATATCGGCTATTGCATCGGGGAATGAACTCTACTCGACTCGCCGGAAATAGAATAACGGTAGCTCAAAGTGACCTAAACATTTTTTATTCACAGAGAGACATTTCTGCGATTCGAAAATGATAAATTTTACACCTTCTAGCGCTGCCTGTACATTTACCGAAGCACCGAGACGGTATATTCACATTTTACATACAATGTAGTGCTCTACACGACAAATTCTCCTGGGAGACTACGACGTGGTCAACGCCGCCATGAGATGTTCCATTTTGTTCAGGAAAGTCTTGCCCTGCATTCGCTCGAGGGACACCTCTTTGAAAGGACCGTTCAGCAGATGCCACTTGCGATCTTTCACGAGAGACGATGGATAGAAGTCCTGCTGCTGCGGGCAGGATGATAGAGACACTTTCACGCCGGCCCCAGGACTCACTCGAACGGCTAGAATTCTGTTGAGGGAAGAATAGCCGTTATCGACAGGACTCGACCATAAGCTGACGTCGCCGTAAATCCTCATGCTGGCCTAGGGTCATGGATGTGGAGAACGGGAAACTCACTTTTCACCATTGGGAGATGCCATGACCACCGAGCTAGCGTTGCCGAGAGGCTCTACTCCCCCAACGCCCACGGAACCACAAGTGGAGAGAACTTTCCAGCCAACGTACTTAGCCAGAGTCTGAACGGCATTTACTTGATGTTGAGCGACTTGGGACATCAGCAAGAAACGCAGTTCTGGAGGCTCATAACTAAGCTTGATGACTCTTCCGTCCCTGCAGATGAACCGAGATTACCAAAAGGAATTCCAGGCGTGACTTTGCCGCTGAAAACAGGCGTCACGAGCCCAGGTGTCGATTGATTATTCGGAGTGAATTGAGATCGAATCCGAATATCGAGTAGCGTCTCACCTCAAAACAGCCTTGAGGCTCTTCTCGCCTACGTGGATCACGAGGGGTGTTCTACACATTGTTTCGTAACCATGAGAAACAAGTTTCACTTTCACGGAGTTGTGGGTGGGTGAGAACATCGCAACCCAATGAGCGACGATCAGGGGATCTTTGATTTCACAGGCGTATTGATCGATCATGTACATCGTGCGGAGCCGGAGTACTACGTGTTGGGTTTGCGCGATGATTTTCTCGAGGATAGTTTCGCTGGAAAAATGGGACTCCATTATCGAACGTTCCAAGAGACTCCGCTCGTTCACCGGGACTCGGAGAAGGGGAGTAGGCGCAATACGTCCTGGATGCTCACTTTTTCGACATGTCCATGATTGTGTGTCGATCGAAAGCTTCTGGACCAGCGAGCCTCTGCCTTTTGTTCAGACCCAGCGGGGCGCTGGCAGGATGCGGCATCGCATGGTGCAGCATGTTGTAATGGTATTCACGGAGAAGCTGATGCAGGGAATGTTCCAAGACGTGCTTGTGATCGAGACGGGATTGTGGTGCTTGAACCTTGCGATCGTTCAGGGTCCGGTGGCACAGTCCGATGGACAGTTGCACTCCCGGGAACAGCTGAAATCGAATGAAAATTTCAGTAACGGGGACTGGAGGGGGAAGCTCGTTCCGTGGCGTCTAAAACTGCGAGGAAGAGTACTCGATGATCAGAGTTAACTATGTGGACGCATTATACTCACCGAACTAGTTATTTGGTTCCCTACGACGAGATTAGGAATCGACGGCTGTAATTGCACGGCTTCGCGAGCCAGCTGAGCGAAGAGTTCATTGCAAAAAAGTACGTTCTGCGCAGCTTCTAATCTTTGTTGCCACGGAGTGTCCGCGTTTGAGAAGGCGTCCTGAGGGAGATTTATCGAAAGCTGACCGCTGGCGATGGTTTCCGTGTCTGGAAATTCAGCAATAGGTGTCAACGAGTTCTATTCCCTTTCGATATCGTGGGCGAACGAATAGAGGCCTCGATGTAGTTAGAGTTCGCATGGCAAGAAAATCATATTTCGTCGGAATATCGACCTTTCTGAATGGTGACTTGGATGTAGCTGATGCCTTCCAGTTCACTAGGGAGGGTGATTTTCACAGAGCTCGGGGGTCGCTGCGGTTCCGGTCCTTGGGAGTGATCGCCTTGGTACATGGCCATCGCGTGGGCACTTTTAGCGACTTCGAACGTCCCCGACTGCCAGAAGCGGGAGCCAGCGCTCTTGTAACTAATATCACCAAGAATAGAATTGCCGGCTTTCCTTAGCCTCCAGGCTTGACGCATCGAAAGCAATTCGGAGTGGAAGTCTGGACAAACTCGACGACCCATCTGTTCTTGCTGAGTTGCTCCGCGCAGATTGGTAGCTCCTTTGATCAGAATGTCGCCGGCTGTATTGAGGGCTTTCTTCTTCGCCAAGAGAATGGCGCTGGGCTTGTGTTCTACTGGCTCTTGGCTCACAGGATCGAGGACGAGGTATTTCTTCTCTTTAGCGATCGCCAAAACGTCAGCCAGCACGGACACCTCAGTAAGAGCAGACTTGAGTTTATTCCGAACACCGTCCCATGGCCACAGAGAAGGTTGGAAAGTGGCTCGAGCCGCCGTCTCCTCCTGAAAATAGAAGCAGTTAGATTTCGAGTTCTGAGCAAAAGAGCCGACGGGGGTCATTTCTGTTTCCCGGGCATCTTTATGCAAACAATCACGGGCTCTATATCTCTGCCGGCTTGACGGACTCACGGTTTTCGCGTCGTCGTCTTCGACTGTGAAGTCTATTTTGTGGGCGAGTTTGGTGAGCTTCTCACTCATGGTGGGGGGATGCGTGTAGACTTCTTGGCCATCATAGTGGATTTCCTGCACGGCATATTCCTGACCAACCTCCACCGACACGGCCACATTGACGGCATTTGCCGACATCGACGTCATTTTAGATTCGACGCGTCTCGGTATCCGGAATGAGTTCGAGAAACGAGGATTGAGCTCAGAACCACCTCCCTTTTGAGGTGAAACGACGAGGCGAATCGAACAAACAAGACAACATCACACGAGAAGCTTCTGAATCTTGCTTTTTGGGATTGAACCTGTAGTAGAACACATCTCATTCGACTTTCGCAACGAATGATCCCCTCTCGAAAGTCACGGGAGACATTCGAACTACGTTCTGGAACTCGAGTTTGCCTGTCCACGAATTTGCGATGGTCTTACGAGCGGCGTCGTTCCGCTAAAAACAAGCGCCGTGTGCTACACCGCAATCCGTGCGTTTGTACACTTCGAAGAGGTATCCGCGGCGCGACGTAAATTCCCCGGAGCGGACTTCGGATCTTGGTTCTTATGCAATCGGATCACGATCGATACTCGGGTCGTTCCTCGGTCGAACGGTCGAAGTTTCCCAGGAGATAGCCCTGCCGGTCCTATCTCACAGCGAACATCGGATTCGACGCAACGCAATCCACACTTTCCGAGTTCCGAGCTTTAGGTTTTTCGAACGTGGTCGTCTGGTAGTGAGTGTGGAGAGCTGCTGCTGCGGCTATTGTTGTGGAAAATAGTTTCCGCCCCTTTTATTTTCAGCTCAGGCTCAAGTCCGCCTATTCTCCAATCTTCCAAAGTGAGTTATTCGAGCGGCGTTCAGATGTGAGTTATGAATTTGGTGCATGGGCTGGGCGAATTTCGAGACGCTGTCAATTATCCGATAACTTTTCACCGGATTTTCCGCGCCGCGCCACCATGAGTGAATCGATCGTGAATGAAAACCGTGCCCTACGACAATTCGCTCTGTCATGTCCTGGCTCCCCAGCATCATGATTCATGTACTCCCTCTTATGAAATTTTCCCCCAGGCTGCTCCGGCTGTTCGAGTTGCTCTGAAATTTCTCAGCCTCGAGTCAGTTTTCAGAGCGACCATTCCGGGATGACAGTGCCCATCCTCGCATCGTCGACCGAAGAATTCTCATGAGATAACAGAAACCTTCTTCTGTCCCCGCCAGAAAGCTATGAATCAAGAGCGTATTGCCGGTGACGGAGCCGAAAGCGGGAATTCGGCATCGGCAGTGCCTGACGTTGTGCCTCTGACCGACAGTGGGGAGAGCGGATCATACGCCGCGAGCACCACGGCTCAACCCCCGTCGACCGACTCAGACAGGTGAGCACGTCGATGAAAAAAATTTCGTTCAAATCTGAGTGCTCGCTTTCGCATCGACATTACTCAAACATTCGTCCAAGCTGTGATAGTTCGAATGACGCTGTCTCCGTTGCAGCCGATCCAGATGGATTCCGAACAAGAACTACCTTCGCGCGCTCAAGTCCATGGGTATAAGTAAACGAGACGCGATCAAGGCTCTTTACCACACGAATAATTCGTCGGCGGACCAGGCAGCCAGCTGGGTTTTCGAGAACGACGTCGCAACGGTGGAAATGCCACCCGGGGTAAGAGTCAAACATTTTCTTTAGTGGAGGAGATCTACATCAGCACCGAGATATTCTACCATAAAAATTCAATTGCCACAGCTGAGCGCGTACGACGCTCTCTCTTCGCCGGATGGTTCTTCAGCTTCGTCTTCTGGAGATGAGAACGATGATTTCTGTGATGAACTGCACAAAATGGTTTTCGTTGTGAACTCGGAGTTGGGAATGGGCATCGGGAAAGTTGGTGCGCAAGTGGGCCATGCCTCCATCGGTCTGTTCCGCATTCTTATGAGTGACGAGTTCAAATATGGGAGGATGCTCTGTGCTTGGGAAGATTCAGGGTGAGTCAGGCTTTTATTATGACTGATGATATATCAGACGAGATTGATCAGCTTCGAATGCCAGGCGAGTGAAGTGCTTTACAATTGAGTAAAATTCCGAACTCCTGCTTCCAGAGAGACGAAAATCTGTTTGAAAGGCAAGAACGCCGCCGAGCTGCTGGAGCTCGAGAAGAACGCCCAACAGTTGGAACTACCGTGCTACTTGGTCGAGGATGCTGGACGCACTCAAATCCCAGCCGGATCGCTCACTGTGCTATCCATCATCGGAAAAGTGGAAGATGTCAACAAGATAACCGGAGATCTCAAGCTGCTCTGAGAGGCGTCGGAGGAAGATCTCGGATTAAGTTTTCCTGTCAGGCGTCAAACGGATTTCCTCCTCGCCGAATTCGCGGACAATCTTCAATCTTCTAACTTAGAGTGGAAAACCCCCGCTGTATATATCGGATAGTGACATGGCCGTGTCTGTTCGCGGGGGCCAAGAGATTGATCATACCGTCATTCATTCATTCATTGTCCGGCATCGATCCGATCCCTGATCGACCGGGATCCGCAACTCGATCTCTTCTGTTCATAGATCTATCACGACGTAGGTAGCTCGAAATGCTATCTATCCCTGTACAATAGCCTCTATATTTCGTACGCTCGTTCGCATGTTTGGGGCTGCAACTCGTGTAGGAGTGTTATCGATTATCACGAGATAGGCTGGTAGCACGTTGTACATATGAACCTCTCCCAACCGTCTAGGAGCATCCGATCTCGGAAGGAAGTTCCGAATAGACGGATAAGACTCCTGTCCAGCGTCTGAGAAGGGGTCCTGAGGTGCTCGGTAGAGTTTCCGGGATGTTTTCAAATCCGAAATACCCGTGTTGATCAATAAATGAGTCACGTCATGTCAAAGAAAGACGCACGCTTGTATTCCTTCGATTCTTTAATATGCACAGGACTTTTCATTCAAATGTCTAGTACAGGAGAGCGACACGCCAGACTCGGCATCGAAACCCATTTAGAGATACAAGCCCTCCGGCATGCCCTCCTTCTTCCTATAGAGTACATTTTCCTTGGACTTCTTGAAATCTTCGTTGGTCACCTTCATTCTCCTTTCACGTAGCGCCATCAGCCCGGCCTCGGTGCAGATGGCCTTGATGTCGGCACCTGGGGAGGGAAGAAGCGATTACTTTCAAGGAGCACAAATCGGATCGATCCGGAAAGAATCGCTTCGAAGATCAGATCCGGCGATCGAGTCGCTCGCGAGATGGAACTTACCCGATAGGTCGTCTTTCGCCATGACGAGCTCGTCTACAGCCACGTCTCCGGCCAGAGTCATCCTAGCGGTGTGGATGGTGAAAATTCTCCTCTTGGTCTTCTCATCTGGGAGGGGGAATTCGATTTTCCTGTCGATTCTACCCGGCCGGATTAGGGCTGGGTCGAGAGTTTCGATGCGATTCGTTGCCATAACCACTTTGACATCGCCTCGCGAATCGAACCCATCCAACTGATTCAGAAGCTCCAACATCGTTCTTTGGATTTCTCGCTCGCCACCCGAGTTGGAATCGTACCGCTTCGTCCCTACAGCATCGATTTCGTCGATGAATACAATGCTCGGCGCGTGCTCCTCCGCAACCCTGAAGAGTTCACGGACCAGTTTCGGACCGTCTCCGAGATACTTTTGAATTAGCTCCGAGCCCACGACTCTCAGGAAAGTTGCCGACGTCTGGTTGGCCACGGCCTTAGCGAGAAGAGTTTTCCCGGTCCCTGGCGGCCCGTAGAGGATGACGCCTTTCGGGGGTCGGATGCCCATTTCCTCGTAGTACTCTGGGTGGGTCAACGGTAACTCGACGGATTCTTTGATTTCCTGGATCTGCTGATCAAGTCCTCCGATGTCCGCGTATGTCTCCTGCGGAGCCTTCTCGAGCTTCATAACAGTCACCATCGGGTCGGTGTCGTCCGACAAAACACCCACGACCGCGTGGACCTTATGGTTCAGGAGCACGGAGCAGCCGGGCTCGAGTTGATCCTTGTCCACGAAAGACAGTATCGAGACGTAGTGTTCCGATCCGACCGACGTGGATACGATGGCATGATTGTCATCGATGATCTCTTCCAGGGTTCCCACCGACATGGGCGAGCCACGGTGGTCATCGACCTTTGATCTTTCCTCTTCATGTTTCTCCTCCTGGGGCTTGAGCCGCTCCTGATTCCTTAGGAATTCTTCCTCCATCAAGAGGTAGTCCTTTATTCGCTCGAGTTTCAGGAGCTTGAGCCGACACCGGGCATGTGGAGTGACCAATGGCAGTTTCGAGGCAGCAACCGGTCCCTTTGCGCGTTTCTTCTTTTTCCCCACTCGGGTCGGCACTGGGGGTTCATATTTCTTCTTCTCCTTGTCTGCCCCGTCTTTCCCACCGCCACCGGATCCGCTTTGGTTTTGTCCCTGTGAAGAGGAAATGACTTTGAGAAATTGATAGAGCTCACATAAGTTGGCCGCCTGGCTCCGGAAAGGTGCCAGCGAAGTGACCATGAGTTTGAGGAAGCGTCCTCCACGGATGTTCCCGTCGGGAGTCGGTCGGAATCAGTGGAAATCAGAGACTCGAGGGAGTATTGTATCACCGGTCACTCCGAAATGGAGGAATCGGGAGAGATTCGCGGTGCCGGGATGCTCCTCATTCCCAAGAGTTAGGGCAGTCATGAGCATCCGACGGATCATGTAATCTGCTCGCTGTCCTAGGTATCGCTTGGCCATTGTGACCCACACGTTAGTTTAATTTTTAGGACCGAATCGGAGATCCAGCATCTGAGTTGTCGATGGACTTCTGATTGGATCGGGTGAGCCGATACCCGAGCTTCTCCGAGTAGGGTATTTGAAAGGCCCGAGAAAGCAACCGAGAGGTGGACAACGTTCGGAGTTTCGCGGGGTCATTCTCTCACCATGGAGCGTCGAGGCCTTCAAAAAAGCGAACTTTTTCTCCCGGACCAGCAATGACTTACCATTTTCACAGCACAACACCGCAATCAGAATTCCCAAAAGTGACTTGACATACACGGTTGGTTCACAGAGCTTTAAGCAGACGACTTTCGAAACTCTTCTCACCTGAGGCGAGAGCTGGTCCACATGTCTGACGATGATTTCTGCTGGAAAATTGTGCGGGGCCTGCGCGCGATTCTTGCTCCCCCGAGCTCCGTCCGACAAAGTTGTCCGGATGAGCAATTCGAAATTAACCGAGATTTGGGGAAGTTCACCTAATCCAGAAGACTCGAGCTGCGATGGAGCTCTTCCTCGGAGCGGGAGGGAACGAGGACTTCCCGTCAAGTTTTCCGCAGGCTCTCCGGCGAAGTACGGAGTCGAGGAAATAATCGATCCCGACCAGATTTGCTATTAGAAAACGGCGATCGATCTCGCCGGTTTTACTCGAGAACGGGCCCAGCTCTTTTTCAACTGGGAGTGGGTCGCTCTCTTCTCACGCATCGAATACGTAGAGGGAGCTCGTTAAGAAGAGTCGAACTCCTTATCGAAAAACTCGGAAAGTTCAATTTAATGAAATCCGACGAGACGTCCGGATGATCACAGTATTCCTGTTCTTCTCATGCCGGTCTCGTCGATCGACAGCAATCAGAGAGTTGCCGTCGGGTTTGCAGGGCTGACACGGAAGTGGAGTCTCAGGGATTCCGTGGGATGGATTTTATAAGCTTCGTCTGGCGGTAACGGTCCGTTTTCACTTCCCTATTCCCTCGAAGACTTCGCAAGACCAGAAGACTAAGTGAGTGAGCTCCAGGACCAAATATATACGAATCACATCGTCGCTAAGGAAACTTTCCTCATCGTATCCCGACGATTCAGCTCGTGTGAAACGTCCGCTGCCGTTTTCAGCACATAAATTCCTTCGATGCTTGATCGAGTCAGAAATGCCGCAACCTATGCCGGTGGAAGTCTTCCTCACAACAATCGATCTACGAGGAGCGATCCAGTCGGATTCACGAGTACGTCGACAGCGACAAAGAATCGAATGAAAGTTCATCCAGCTTCGTTCCTATATCGTTCTTCAGAATTGACACCTGGCCTCCTTATTTGAGCGTTTGATGCCGGTTTTTATTGGAACTATAGAAAAAAAAACATAATGGAGCTCCCGTCTCCAGGGTCGGATCATACTGTGAGTACAAGATCGTTGTAAAGTAGATTCCTGCTAAGATCGAGTCGATTACTCGCTCCGGAAGTGGTGCAACATTTCTTCGCGGGATGTAGAGCGACCGCGTAGATAGCCGTAGACGATGATGGGACCGCCGCTCTGAGCTCACCGGCCATTGTGAAGTGATACACCTTGCCTCCCTCTCCCGCCAGAGTGATCTGTAAATCGGGGATTCGCAATTAAACGACAAGGTTCTCATTAGCTTGTCATTCTCTTTCCGACAACTATCGCCGAGCCGTCCGGCGTTGCACCTACCATATCGTTACAGAATTTGGCCACGAAACAGTCCTGCTCGACTTCAGCGAAGACAATGGCTGGGGTCATCGATTTCGTGTGCAATACGGTTGGTCTGTGTCCTCCAGCGACCACGAGCCATTCCTCTGATTCGTCGAGGGAAACGGCACCGACCCAAGTCGCTCCGCTGGCCGATCTGGAAATCAATTTTCGGTTGATAAGGGATAATATTCAGCGATATTACGGGGCATGTAATCGGCTATTTCATGTTCGTTCGAGGAGACGAACTCGACAGCAGGGCTCCTTCCTCTACCTCAATCTGTCGTGTTTCTTGATGTCCACCGAACAGACAGTCTTCTTCGACCTCAGATCCCAAAGTTTCACGGCGCCATCTTCGCCGGCCGAGTACAGCTCGGTACCGTGCCTGTTTATGGCGAGGTCGTGCACGTAATCCTGATGCTCTTCGAGAGCTCCCAGGAAATGCCGAGTTTCGAGCTCGTACACGTAGATCTTGTTGTCGCCGGCAGCCAAGTGCATCTTGCGTTCGGAGTCGCTGAGCGCGATCGCGTTCACTTCCGGCTTATTGAGCCCTCCGTGAATGGGGAGGCGCACCGCCCAGTCAACTTCGAGCTTCCCTTCTCGGATAGCGCTCCAGTGGAAAGCAAGAACTTCGCCGACCCCTCCCGCCAGGAGGAAGTCTCCTACAGAAGTCAAACAATATATGGCTCCGGTGGAGACCTGTTGTCTGGTGGATGATTTTAGGGCTTCTTCCTGAAGATCTTCATCCTTCAGGACCTTGTCGATATCGAACAGCAGCAGTTCGCCGTAATTGTTCCCACACACTAGTAGGCGACCGTCTTCGGAATAACACTGGCAGAGTACCTTCATGTAATAGTCTATGAGGGAGGTCTGCATTTTTGCTGGTTCTCTTGCGTACCCCACCGAGGGTCTCAGTCTAGGATAGGGTGTGCAAAAGTGAACCAGTCGACGACACAAGATGGAGCACCTCGTCCTCCTCCAAGCGACGGAATCCCTACGCTCCGGCCGATGAGCTGTTCTGGACGGCGATCCGATGAATCGTCTAAGATCGTGGTAGATCGCAGGAATGGAGCGAGCTCTTCGTTTTTACTGCAGTGGAGTTTCAGCTGATGCTCGTCGTTGAGCGCCTCCGGTTGATGGCAGAAACCCGCGACGACACTCAATGTGTTGATGGTGTGTGTCTGGGCTTTCTAACGGCGCGAAAACTTTGACAGCTGTCACGCAACGGTTATTGCCCCTTGCCTCTAGCGCTTACCTCTCGCGCTCGGCCGTTCGCCCGATTCACTCGCTATCCGCAGGAACGTCCAAGCATCAAGAGAAATTCCGTGATGTTGTCGGAAGGCTCTGAATGCGAAGAGCCTCTCTTACAATTAGATACACTCTATTCCTCAAGTGGTTCAGCATTCAAGTCCTTCCAGCAAGATAATAAGTCGATCGCATCTCTTGATGTCAAATTGTCCCATTGAGAACTCCTCCGTCCAGGCAATTCCTGCGTACGATGGAAAGCGGTAATGAGAACGGTTAGAGGCCCACGGACGATGCTCATCGCGATTTCTTGCAGCTCCTCGCGCAAGGGGACAAGCGTATGCCGCATCCTCCTGTCCGAAAACTCCGAATTCCGTCCGAGAAACAGTTCGCCTCCAATGTGGGTGAGGAAGTCCGCGTTGGAGGACGCGGCTTCCGGAATCGGAACTCCCGCAATCGCGGCTCCGATTTTCTCTCCGTCGACTCCCCTGATATTGTTCACCGGCTTCACGAGTCTACGGTCGGGCCCACACCGTCATGGCAGCCCGGAAACGCGCAAGTCGAAGCGAAAGTTTGATCAAGGAAATGTTCAGAAAAGTCCTGACCGTGGCAGTTTTTTTTTCTCCATTTTGCAGGCGATGGCACACAAACCACGGCAGCTACGCGCTCACGGCTCTGCCAGTGGAAAGGGACGCGGTGTGGCGATGGCATCGCATGAATTCGGTCAAAAGCACCGGGTCTCAGTCACTTTGATTTGATCTGCGACGAAGATGTCAGCCTCAACGACTGTGCTCGTAACTGGGGCCTCGGGATTCATCGGCATCCACGTAGTGAGAGTTCTCCTGAAGGAAGGTTACCGCGTCCGAGGGACGGTGCGCTCACTCAAAAACGACACCAAGTGTAAACCCATCCTCGAGTGTCACCCCGATGCCAAGACCAAGTTGCAACTCGTCGAAGCGGATCTGACGAAAGACGAAGGATGGGAGGAGGCCGTCCGCGGAGTTAAGTACGTGATTCACGTCGCGTCTCCGTTCCCCAACTTCGTTCCGAAGGACCCCGATTCTTTGGTCAGACCAGCTGTGGATGGTACTCTTCGGGTCCTGAAAGCTGCGGCCCGGGCCGGAGTGGCTCGTGTGGCGCTAACGAGCTCCATAGCCTCTATTCATGGACATCTGGAAACGGATAACGTCACGGTTTATAACGAGACAGAATGGGCCGATCTGGAATCGCCGACGCTCGGACCATACGAGCGCAGCAAGACGCTCGCGGAAAAAGCTGCATGGGAATTCATAAAATCCCCCGAAAACGCCTCGAAGATGGAATTGGTGACCATTCTTCCCGCGCTCGTAATCGGACCGATCGTAGGTACCGATTTCGGTACTTCCGTTATGTCTCTGAAGCGGCTCATCGACGGAAGTAGCCCAATGGTGCCCGGGGTTACCTTTGCGTTCTGCGATGTCCGGGATGTGGCTGAAGCTCACGTAAAATCGCTCACAGTCAAGGAAGCGGCTGGTGAGCGCATCTGCGTCTGTACAGAGACTCTGTGGATGCAGGAAGTTTCCAAAATTCTCCACAAGGAATTCGGCTCGATGGGATACAGATGCCCACAGAGGAAAGCACCGAACTTTGGACTGTGGTTCATTTCCTGGATAGACGCCACAGTGGCGATGCTGATGCCACGGCTGGATAAAGTTTTCAAGTACTCGAATGAGAAAATGAAAACTATCCTGAAAATTCAACCCCGACCGATTGAAACTTCAATAGTCGATACAGCGTACAGTCTCATCGATGCGGGTGTTGTCAGAAAAACCAGCAAATATCAACCGAAGAAAGTTGAGCTTTGATTGTGATATCGCGACGATCACTGGTATCTTCATTGCGGTATCCTTTGATTTTTTTCACGCCCCTCTTCCTCATGGAGCGGGATATTTATTGAATAATAATAATCGACACGTCAAAAATGACCCTGATTTCTGTTATGTATACGAGGCCTGTTTGCTAACCGCGGGCGCGTCACATACATCGGAGGAGGAAGTCGAATAAAGAGCCTCTGTCTCGACGCTGGAACTCGACTGTCTCTATTGAATGAATTGACGGCATGCGAGAATGTCTATCCGTTCGTTTTTCTCCAAGGCTCATCTCGCGTCTGAAAGATTGACACTCCCGGATCCGTCTAGAGAAAGCTATGTGTCTGAGGGTCTCCTTCACAGCTCATAGGCCGAATATACATACTCTCTTCCGACTACTTCAGACTCAAGATTTGGCTGCTCGGGGAAGTTTCGTATCGATCAATATTTGATCGGGGACGATTCCGATCGGTGGAGCAGCATCTGCGGTAAGGTCCTGATGATTCACTCCCTGCTGTTTTGATGAAATCGCCGAGCGTCAAGGAAACAGGGAGAGAACAGATGAGCCCCGCATCTCAAATTTTCTATAATACTTCCTCGCATAAACAAAGCAACGCGTTCCAGCCAGTCCGGCTCACCGACGAGAGTCTGGACCGAGGAGCGAAAACATTGATCCCAGGAAGTTCTCGGCGAATCGTGGAACACTTCCTCGTCTCGACTCAAAGCTGTTGACTTCATCCCAGCGGCATTGGCGCGAGGCTCTGTTCCTGCTCGAAGAACCTTCTCGGCGTGACGTCTCACACACTTGGACGCCCATGAGCCCATGAGGTCCCTGGTTAAGGAAAGACACCGCATTTCGAGCAAACTTCAACGATGATTCGACTTTAATTAATGATGAGTGTACACGATTCGGGAGTGATTCGATAGGAAACAGATTATATTACATCTCTCGACTCGTTCACGAAACTACTCGTGAACAAGACGCGGTGCTTCTCTCATTCCCACTCGGGTTCGTATTCAGAGCCCGACTCATATTCTTGATGTTGATGATATTCCTGGAAAGACGGACCAGCGACCTGGAAAGCCTCGGTTTCGATGGGCTCGCAGGTGTCGGTTTTTACATTGTAGATCATCTTGTGTAGTTTCTTCATATGGATGCGCATGTTGTACTTATACGCTGTCTTATAGCAACAGAACTGACAGACGAAGGGCTTCTCGTTGCTATGTACAGTTTCCATATGACTCCGAACTTTGTATTTATCGCTAAACTTTGCAAGACATATCGGACAATTTCCCTGAGCGCGTTTCTTCTTCTCCTGTGTCTCCGTCGGAGTCTTCGGAGCCGTCCGGTGGACATGCATATGTAGTTTGAGATGGGATTCTTTGACCGTGCTGAACGTACACCCCTCAATGGGACAGCTGTGCACGCGCTCTGTCGCCAACCCGTATAGGTTGACTTTGTCATGCACTTTGGTGAAATGCAATTCATATTTAGTGGCGCTATTGAACGCTTCGGTACAGCCTTGAATTTTACAGTGGTACCTCCCGTTGTTGAAGATCTCTACTAGGCCTTGGTGCATGAGTTTGTGCACGTTCATTTCCTTGACTTTCGTCGTTTGGAAGTCGCACTTGTCGCAATACTTCGGATCGACTTGCCGTTTGTAGATGAAGCCCTTATGAGCCTCCTGGCGATGCTGGAAAAATCTTCGGAAGGTCCCGAACTCTTCGTCGCAGTGCTCGCACTTGAACTTCTTCATGACTTCGTTGTGTTTCGTGGCCATGTGTTCCCGCAGCAGGAAACGGTCATAAGTCTTATAGTCGCATAGTTTGCAGCAGATCGTCCCCTCCGAATGACGCGCTATGTGTTTTTTCAACGCACTGGTCGACGATAGAGTCGCATTGCAGATATGGCACTCCAACCGAGCCTTCTCCCGCTTGTGGGTTGGGTAGTGGGCCGCGAGCCGAGTTCTATGCAACGTTGTGAAATCACATAATAGACACTTGTACCCGATTACGTGTGTGTGATAGTGTCTTTCGAGCTCTCGAGGTACGTTGCTCGTGAAGGTGCACACCGCGCAGCTTAGCTTGAAATTCACTGGAACGTCTTCGGTGGTGTCTCTGTAGGGCGTGAAAATTTCGTCGGTGGGATCCTGACCCCGCTGCGCATCCCATTGGTGTTTGGTTATGTGCTTCTTGTAGGCCCACTTGCCGCGCACCTCGGCGTCGCAGAGGATACAGAATACTGTGGAATCGTCGTCGACTTGATCCTCGTTCGTTTCGTTAAGAGAGACTTCTGTTTCCTGCGTGTCTTGCGTGTCATCCAGGAGAGATTCGTCAATTATCTCGGATTTCAATTCATTCAAAATTTCCTCATCGTGCAACGGAGTCGACGAGTCCAGATCCATTCCGAATTCCGACTGAAATATCGAATATCCTCTGTTATGGGTTGGTCGTCGACGCGACTCGTCGTAATGTCTGCGCTCCGTCGTTGATCGACCGACACGTTCCGAAGTTGCTGTATCGTATTCGCGTGACGAATTTTAAGGAATCCCCTAGCGCCTCGGCATCGACTCCTGATCAGATCAGAACGATCCTCCGCTAGGCGAGCTGCTTTTACCGCCAGAAGGATTCATTTCAAGGAACCCGGAGCAATGGTGCTTGAAAGCCGAACCAGTCGCTCGGCGAGTTGTCAGCCATTTCCGAACCTCTATCAAGTACGCCGGCAGCCCTTATAGGGCTGTCTGAAGCTCTGTGACGCTCAAAGTCATTGGTGATCCTCTCTGTCGTCGCACGAACCTGTCTCACGGTGGGCAATCGTTGCACTTCAAAAGAAGCCGAGGAATTAAAAATTTCTTGAGCAAGCTCCGAGACACAGACACGCAAACTCGAGACGTCGAAGCCACGCGGAAGCCTTTAGACGAGACGGAGAGGCGCCAAAACACGAATCCTACCTCGGTAGCGCGGATAGTAGTTCATCGTTCGCTACAAGTACAGGAGGAGCGAATTGAGATCCGAAATCGAAATTCATGCGTTCCGAGACCCAGTCGGAGAGTCCGAATCAGCCGAACAACTTCGGCCCATTCCAGCGGCGGGAGGCAATGAATTCAAGCGTCGCTTTGAAAATCCATAGGTGTCACTTTCGAGTCACTTTAATTAACACTTCCGTTCTCCGACGATGCATTTTCCATTGTACATAAGGTGAAGATTTCCTCTTTCACAACGAGTAACAGCACGAGGATCACAGAGATCCCCTTAAAGATCAGACGCAACTAAACGACGAGCTGGAGCTCTTCGGATGCTGGAAGCTTCAGGAAGTACTTGTCGACAAGCTCCGGGGTGCATTCTTCCAATGAGGCAGGCCTCCATTTCGGGTCGTTCGACTTCCTCACCAGCAGTGCATTCACGCCCTCGTAGAAATCATGATCATCTAGGAATCTTTTGCCTAGACGCATATCCATCTCGAGAACTTGTTTCAGATCCATGGATTTAGCTTCTCGTATGGCTTTCAAAGTCACTTTCAGGGAGAGTGGGGACATCTTATTCAGCAGCTCTAGCTGTTTCCCACAAAACTCGCCACCGCGAGATTTTAACTTCTCGAAAATCGCCTCCACGGTGTCCGGCGAGAAGCATTCCTCGATTTCTCTCAGATGGGGCTCTAGGGAGAACTTGCCCAGGGTCGGTTGATATTTGTCCAGAATCTTCTCGATCGATTCTTGCGAGCAGTCTTCGAGGGCTAGAATTTCTTCTTCGAGTTCGGGGAATTTGGTCGATGGAGCGAAGTGGCTGACCAGTCCAGCGTGGACAAGATCCTCTCCACGTAGACGGTTTCCAGTCAATCCCAGGAAAACTCCGAGATTGTGTTCGAGACGGCTCAAGAAGTGACATCCGCCGACGTCCGGGAAAAGTCCAATCGCCGTCTCTGGCATCGCGAAGAGAGCTTTTTCGCTCACGACCTGGAACGGGCTATGGAACGATATTCCACATCCTCCACCCATGACGATACCGTCGATCAGAGGGACCAACGGAGGTTTCATCTTAGCCAATAGATAGTCGAGAACGTATTCCTCACGGAAGAACGCATCGTTGTTCCCCTTCACAGCCGCGATTGCCTTCACGTCACCACCAGCACAGAAAGCTTTGCCATCACAGGCTTTGAGCAAGACGAGTTTGGCCAGGTCCTCCTTATGCCATTTCCGAACCACAGGCTCAATCACACGGATCATCGGCAACGAGAGAGCATTCAAAGCTTTCGGTCTGTTCATGGTAATGATTCCTTTACCATTCCGGAGTTGGAGGAGGACGTCCTCCGACGATCCTGTGGACATTGCTCGACTGATCACTGATGAGGGCTTCAAACGTAACAGACAAAACATCTGTGGAGAAAAGGAAGAAGTTAGAGTTCTATTCCGACGACGAGAGCACCGACTGGGAAAGTTTCCCTCGAGTTTTAATAGGACGTTTCGAGCCATCATGTCACGACATCGCAGTCGACATGTAGTCACTGCGCCCAAAACTAATGTCCCTTCACTCCCGGAGCGGATTCGAACCTCACCTATCGTCTCCGGATCCTCGACAACGAGAAATCATCTACCCAAAATTTCGGAACTCTAGAATCAAATTTGGGACCGAGAATCAGTTCGAATACTGCTGCGACCGTCTTCTTCCTGGCACGCCACTCAATATCAGAGCATGACTTGCACAGATAAACTGTGGCGAATGGTTCCATCGTCGGGAAGAGCACCGTTGAAGAGGTCACTGTTTATTTATCTTCTTACTGACAAGTTCCCCGCGCCAATGTCAGTCGGCATTGCGCTCGCTATCCAAGTTTTTATTCTGCCGTCTTTTCCGCAAACCGAGAAACTTACCTTCGCCAAGTTCGACGTGAGTTCGGCAGATGCCAGCTCCGGGAGGCTTCCTGAAAAGGGATCTTAGGGAGCAGTTGGTCTTCCTCTCGGCTGCTGCCGGCTCTTTCGGTCTCTCCGCAGCTGATTACGTATTTGAGTTGCGCCGATCTCTCTCCGGCTTTGATCACCGGCCGTATCACCGAGATAGCAACGAGATCTAGAAGGCCGCGCGCGGGCTCAGGAACATCACTAAAATAGCTCGGAGCTCTCCACGGGATCGGGATCTGAGACCCAGAGCAAGTAGCTGAAACGCTTTACCGGGACGGAAGTTGATGCGGATTAGATTTGGGGCTCGAGGGCAGATTCTTGGGCTTGAGGCTCGGCTGCGCGGTGGGGGCTCTCATCCTCTGATACGGAAATCTGTGATTTTCGGGCGATTGCTCGGATCAATCACCGGTATCTTCTCGCGGGATCTTCCCGAGGGCCCTGGTGGTTATTCCGGAGAGCGTCTGAATCGCGCCGAGTGAGATCCAGAGAATCCCTTGGCTCTGGAAGCTGTGCATCGACTCATGCGGGCTGGCGAGAGAACGACCAGCTGATCGCTCACGGTTTGAATTTTGGCGCCTCTTTCCTCAAGCGACGGAAGTGAGTGTCTTCTTTAGGCCCCACCATCGGAGAAGTGAGGCCCGATTTGGACTCCTGTTCGGAGGGTTTCCGGGGAGAAATGGCTCAGGTAGGTCCAGAATAGGGATCCGAAACATTCAGTTAGATCGGCTCGGAGGCGATTTGTTCGACGGCCTCCCGGAACGCCTTTCACCGAGAAAGATCCAACCGACATTTCTCGGCTAGGTTTGAGAGCTACGAGAGACCGTTGCGAGCCGCGGAGAATTTTTCTCCGCATCCAATTTCTGCTCCGCAACTCTTATCGCGCATGAATTGGATGTCGAGCAAGCAAGATGATCTCCCGATCGGCATTGGACGGTTTCCCGAGAATCCCGAATTTTCTGTCAGCTGGCTTTGACGCTGTTGTGTTTTGAATCGTGCTTTATTTATCCACGACGGGTCGCCGCCGGGGGATCGCGTTCCCGGCAATCCGGACACTCCCCGGAGCTCAGAGAATCTCGAGGGCGCGCGGCGACTGAGCGAGGACCATCATGCGCATTTCCGTCGGTATTACCACACCACGAAACGGATATCTCATAGACGCGGGTGTTAGACACAGAAAATATTCGATAGGGGTCTGATCTCTGCGGTTGTTACGACGCTTCCCGTCGGAGCGCTACGTCTGTGCGAAGGATCGCGTGAAATTCTCAAACTATCGAATACAGTCGGAATGTTTCGTTCCCTCGTCCGAGCCGAGGAAGTTCTGGATTGACTGATCGTTTATTTTTCAGACATCGAATGTCGAAAATCTCGCCCCTCAAGTTATCCGGGCCGTTCGTAAAGAACTCATGGATCTCACCAGATCTCCACCGGAAGGGTTGAAGCTGCACTTGAATGACGCCGACGTCACCGACATACAAGCGACACTCGAGGGACCGCAGGGCACACCTTTTTCCGGAGGAGTATGTTCCTAAGTCACGCTCAGCTTCGCCGAAGAAGCGAGCGAATAGTCTCACACCATCGACCGAGATATATCATTTCATCATAATTTCCGTATAATTCGAGCCTCCATCGAGCGATTGTCTAGTCTAAGGTACCGACGTTTCGCTTCTAGGAATTCAGGCTACGGTTGGTGCTGTCGAAGGATCACCCATGCACCCCTCCCAAGGGATATTTCCTCACTAGAATATTCCACCCGAACGTCGCCCCAGACTCGGGTCAGATTTGTGTGAACACGCTCAAAAAAGATTGGACTCCGGACACGGGGTTGTTGAGGATTTTCCTCACCATAAAATGCCTTCTCATCGTACCAAACGCCGAATCCGCCCTGAACGAGGAGGCTGGTCGACTCCTGCTCGACCACTACACGGAATACGAGAAACGAGCGAAGATGATGACAGCCATACATGCGCAGCCAACCCAGAAATCTGAACATCCAGGTGAGAGAGTCATCCTTCTGGAACCCACTCAATAATGATTGATTTGTTCCTATCAAGATCGGTCTCCCTCGGGAACGGAATTATGTCTAATTCGTGATTCCTCTCCGTTACAGAACCCACGGCCTGTGACACTTCTCAGGCCACGACTTCGAAGAGGTTCCACAGCACGGTTACCCCCTTGGTAGCTTCGAACTCGAACGCCGACGTCAGTAAAAAGCAAATGAAAGTCTTGAAAGAGAAGAAGCGCGCCCTGAAACGACTATGAAACGCCTACAGCCTCCGAGAGCAAGCAGGACTACGAAACCCAGAGGCGGTGTTATGCGTAAATCATCTTTAGGACAATGGCAGGACGGTTAATAATGTATAAATGACAGTCGTCGTTCCTCGATTGATATTCGAGGATTTTTCGAGCCAAGCAGACCCAGTGAATGTGAGAGATCCGCAAGATATACGAATGGAAAAGGCGAGCATGGTTGGTGAGAACGGTTATGGAATCGTATGATTGAGCCGACGAGATATCGGGATACATCAAGAGAATTGAATGTGACTGGAATCAATATATAAAGACTATTTATACGGTCATAAACTGCGAGCGTCAAATCATAAATGATGGTTTTTCGGGACTCACGCTGTGTTTTCCATTCGTGGCCACCAACTGGGAGCGACTCCCTGACCTTCCCCGACGATCCTCTTCGAGTTCCTCAGATGCGTGAAACCTCGGCCTTCCGCTATACCTGTCATGTTGGATTCGAGCTTGCCGCCCGGTCCAGACATCGGAAACCGACGGCTCCTCACACGAGAAGTCGCTGAGTCCGGATCTGACCCCTGACTATGCCTCCAGTAAATCCAGAACGTGGTCTTCTCTGGAGACTGTGCCTGCGAATTGAGACGTAGACAGCAGTTTCCCGCCCGGGGACTCGGTCGGCATGAATTCCGCGTGAATTCGTGCTCTGCGCTCTATGAATACAAACTCGATATGAACACTGCTGACGTTCAGGGACCACGTCACTGGAGAATGCGCGGAATTCATCCATAAGAGGGCTTTCCGCTAATTATCGAGTCCGATAAGGCAAGGCTTGATACAGATCTCCGTGGGGAAAGATAGGTATTGCGAACATAGGGTCGATCGAATGATCCGTCCCTCTGCAGCGGTAATACGGACTCGTAGACTTCAGCTGCACCATCGAATGCCACGGTCGTGGCCCGAGAAGCGATACGGATCGCACCCCAGATTGTCGATTGTTACGTGAGTCGGAAGTCATGCACACTTTAGAATTCTCTCGAAGACTTTCAAATCCGTGTCGTGGAAAGTGTTCGGATGAGTGGTGACAGAAAGAGGTACCCACGACTGGGAGCTCTGCCTCCGATCCTTGCTTATTGAAAGCCGCGTCCGGGAGTTCTATCAGACCCCCAGAACGCTGGAAGACCTCCATACCGCTTAAAAAATATTATATAATCGCCCAGGTGCTCCCAGGATACTTGTTACCGAAGAAAGCAATCTTCAATTGTGTTTAGCAAGGAGCGCAGCGTGCCGCCCCGAGAATTCACTGAATGAGGAATCCGCATCTAAACTGCAGAGGAGCATAGAAGGCAGTAGAACACGCGGATCTGCCTCTCATCAGGGAGCTTGCGGCCCATCGCATGCAGTGCCGATTCTAAGGATCGATGGTATTCGTCCACCGGAGGATCGGTGGCTGCGATCCATACCATTCCACCTCTCCTGAGGGCTTCAGGACCTCTGTCTAGCTCTTTCAGACTAGCTTGGACTCTCTTATTCGATATTGTATCAGACAAGTCTATGACCATTTGTATCGAGAATCGAATCAATGTAGACTATCGACTGTGACGAGGAAGCGGGACTAGATTTCCGAGAGCTATATAAAATCGATTCGAGAGCTATAATATATGCGCTCCAGTATAGAAAGCTCTCTCAGAACACGCATCATGCAAACGGAGGACGGGTGTATCAAGAACTGCCTCGGAAACTCAACTCTCCAACCGAGATTTCATTCTTCAGTTTGCGATGACCAAGGTCAGACTTGTGATTTTCCTCTCAGGCAACGGTGAAACAGGTCCTGGTCTTCGGGGAGTTTGATGGCTGGACAGAGTTCCTCTCCCTTATGAAGAAAATAGTCTGCCCCCGGTGGAAGTTTGTTTCCCTTCGACTCAAAGTACGCTCAATGAACGATGTTACGATGATTGGCTGCTGCCATCTTTGTAAAGCCTACTTAGGTGATTTTTATGACAGCGAGGACCCTGGGGTTTAAGGACGTTCGATTGTGAGCGCCATCGACGCATTCGGCTCATAACATTCAGATGAGGACGGCGGCATTTCATTCCTGAAGAAAAGCTCCGTGGTTTTAGAAACTCTGAAAATGCTCAGCAGCGTTTTTTATTTATCTGGAAGCAACCTTTCATTATTTTGTTTTTGTCGGCTCTGGTAAGTGGTCATTCGAATTTCAGTCTCCGCATATCGAAGACACTTTGCCATTGTTAAATGGATGTAAAAAGTTTCGTGAAGGTCGACCTTTTGCGGGTTCGGACCCCGAGCTGACCGCTGCTCCGGGACGGGTGCGAATTCATCAGAATCGCCGCAAGTTTTTGCTCTTTCTGGTCAGTCGTATTGCTCATCATGACTTAGTCCTCGGCTCATTCCTCAATATGTGATTTCCCGGAAACATTATACTCGACGCCATTGATGCTGTATGCGCATCGGACCGGCATGAGACAGAGACTCGCAGTGAAGCATGGAACCAGCGTTTTTTCCCCGGGAGACACAACGCACGTTCCTGACATCACTCCACTTCTGGATGAGGTTCGAAGTTTTGAGGGGACTCTCACCGGCTATGCCATTTCATCAGAAATCACTTCCGAAGGATCGTTTGAGATCCTCCAGATCAGCACAGCGCACAGCTACTCTTTCAGACCAAAACCGAATGAAGAATGAATCCAGAGAATTTAGGGAATCAATGTTCACTAGAAAATGAGCAGCGAGGAATTCCCGGGACGACCGGAAGACACGGCAGCAATCACAGAAACTAATTGTTCGAGAGCTTTCCCAGCGTTCATTCCTTGCCTGCTATGGGAAAAAATCAAATTCCGGGGCGGGTCGTCGAGAATGCATGTATCAACACATGGCATGTATCAACATTGATCTTCCTCCGTGAGCGAACTCCGCTTCTCATTGGAATAAAAGTTCCAGATGAATTCTTTGACCAGGTGTGGTGAATAGGATCATTTGTCGCATTCGGATCGGTGAAAATTCTTCCATGAGGTGTGTGAACAGCTCGACCGATACAAACAATACCGATACTGCGAAACACATCGGGGACACAATAGCTTCCCACAGATCCTTTCAATTTAAGCCCAAGTGTTGAGCTCGCTATCCCGATCGAGGGTTTACAGAAAAAGAGGACGTTTCTTATAGGCGTTTTCGGTTGTGCCTGAAGGAAGGGTTTGGACGCCATCTGTCAAAATAATTACGGTTGCGAAATCAGTCAGGTCACACCATTGTTGGCGAGTTGAACTACGTTGCCGACCGCAAGACGAGCGACGTCCACAACAGCGACTGGATGTCTACCAACGGCGGCCAAGTATGACCGACGGCGAGCAGCGAGGGTCTGCCATGTTTGACTGCAAGGTTTCTGGTGTCTCCTCTGCTTAAGAAGGAGCCTTGACCAATTTTTCTCATCCCGAGAATGAGTGTACCAAGACATTTGCATTGAAACATATCCAGCCCTATGTTGTTCCAACAACGAGCACATGGTCGGTCAGAAGAAGGCATCATCGGCATGGCAGAAGAGTCTTTCGAAAGCACACAGAATCGACATACGACCGGACATACGTGCTTGTTCCTTTCGCTGATTGAAGAGAACGAGCAAGCAGTGCTGCAACGTCGAAACGGGAGAGAGGAGGTTCGAGCGTGGAAGTAGGTTCATGCATGGGCTAGGACAACGAAAAAGGAGCAGGCTCTCAACCAGCACGCGGAAGTATTCGACGGAATCGATCGATTGTGTTCGACCGGGATCTCGGTCCTGCTCTCGGAGTGTGGGCTACGGTCTGAATCTCAATCAGCTTCCGGGGCTCCGAAAACTTATTCCATAGACCGCCATCGGCTGACTCTCATGGTTCCTCATCTGCGGTGGTGCAGATCAGAAAGTATGTGTTCAGATGCACATCGCAATTATTCGAAGTTCTTCAGGGATATACATATATTCGAAATCAAGACCTCGACGTCGCAGAATCGAACTCAGCATGCTCGCGTACGAGTTGGTGATGCTTGCGCAGACGGAGCAGATTTGGATAGACGTCTTTCCGCCTCGGAGACGTAATTACAAGAGTCACGATGTGTGACTTGACGCCACTAAGTAAGTAAGCCATGCAAGCAAAGAATTGCACCATTCATATTACTCCCTACTGGGAACGTGATCGGATTTACAGCCGTTAAGAACAGAATTCCCGAGCGACCTGGTCGTTTCTCAGATGGTCTACCGCTACTGAGCGGTTGATCTCTCCAGACCAAGATCGCAATCGAATTTATTGCATGTCGTTCCCATTGTTCGTTTGGGAAGAGCCAGAAAATGAACTAAGAGCAAACTATGAATTCTGAGTCTTGGTTCCGACGTGGGAAAGGAGGTCACGGCTGTTTTCACTTCCTGAGAGAATCAGAGAAAGCGAGGCAGGAGAAAAGGGGTGAGCTACGGAATAGGAACAGAATTACTGCTCCCTCGCTCGCTCACATCATTGCGCGGAACTTCCGCAAAAAGTGGATTTGGATATTCATTCGTCGAATCCTGCCCTGTGAACATCCATCCAGAAAAGCCAATTTATCCGGAACAGTGATCGATTCATCAGACGATTCATTGAGGAGTCCCGACGCGCTCATCGAGCTAGGATAGGGTGTGAATTTCAATTGGTGCTCATGCATACTCAGGCGCTCGACTCGTCTGGTCGGATCATGCAAAATGGAGGAAAGAAACAAAATCGCCGAACGATGGTCAGAATCAGGCGAACGAAGTTCTCAGAAGATACAGCTAACAGATTAAATCGGCAGCTGATGGGCGCTGATGCGAGCAGTATTCGACGGGCCCATCTCATGGACAATCCGGGATTTTACTGAAGTCGCAATGATAATCAGGCTTTTTGCTCAAGGATCCAAATTATGAGAGTAGGTGTCTACATTCGGAATAGCGCAGAAGAACTAAGAATGGGATAAACGAGGCGGTTCGTTCACAGTGACGTAATGACCATCAATCGTGCAAAGTGGTCGCAGACTGAATGTCGAAATGAACGGCTGCTCAAACGAAGCTCTCTCGAGGTCTAAAATATTTTGAACTCCGTCCAGAGCAGCTAATGAAAGTTCCAACAAATCGCTTCGGCTCGGACCAGAGGACAGGGTCCACGTCAGATAATAATTATGATCAATTGTTCTGTGAACTGCAAGCTCGATCCGGAAGGTCACAGTTTCCAGGAGCGGAGCAGATGTAGAGTCCCCGAATTCGCATACATAGCTGAGGTTGTCGATATTAAGCACGGTAAAAGAGACCCGCTTTACGGTGCATTCCAACTCGAGCGGTCCGGAACCGTTACCTGAAATCGTATCGATCAATCGGAGATCAGAGGAGGACCATGAGCTCGAATCTGCGCTACCCCCGCCCCGTAACCCCCTTAAACGCACGGAATCCGACGGACCGATGGGGACCATTTTCCGCTGCGATGAAAATCTTCCGGGAGAGTGATCTCCTAGAATCGGGCTGTCCCACAGAACGTCTACATGCTCGCGGATGTTTTCCTTTAGCCCGTTGGTGCAGGATCCGAGAGCTTCATCCCGGTGATGGTTTCCAATAAAATTGCATCGGACGACGGCGACAAGCGATTTCTCCTCCTACCTACAACTCTGCACCGCTGCATCGAAGTCGGCGGACGGAAAGTTTATGACTAACGTGAAGTTATCATTGCACAAATCTTTTCCCGGAACACTGAGAGATGAATTGGAAAACCGAAGATGGCTAAGTGAAATGATGTGTTGGAAAAGCTCGTTCTTGCAATAAACGAAAAGACCACGCGACGCCAGCGACAACGAAGACGGTAGGTCACAAAGGTCTCAGAACGCAAACACAGCAAACACGAGATACATAGTTTGGCTGAGGCAACTTCACCGAGTCTCTCACAAACACACCAAACACACATGTGCCAGGTACCGAATCCAAGTCGAATTAAGCTGTCTGTCTTGTAGCATTCTAGCGGCTCGGAGTTCGGCGGTGATTTTTTGATGACTTATAATTTTCGCCAACATCTCCCGAAAGTGTGTTGACTGAGGAACGAACGAACGAAAGAACGAACGGCGATCATCAGACCCAATGATCTCAGCCGGCCTCCGTTGCTCGCTCTCCTCTACGTAACGATTCAAATCTCATTTTATACGTTCTTAATTCGAGTTCACGAGATTTATCGAGCGAGATCTGCTTGGAAAGAGATTCCGGAACAAGATCTGCCGGCATCAGCAAGTCGAATCTCTCGCACGTAGTCGTGATTTAGCGCACTCGTTCCTCCCTGTACTTTCTGGAATCATCTGTGAATATATTCTCAGCGCGAGCTTCTGGCGTACCATGTGCAAGTGTCTCTCAGTCAGCCAAAGAACCGATCTGCGGTTTCCCGAACCGTGGATATAATTCACCCTGTCAACGATTCGTGGACAGTCCCAGTTCACCAGAAAACGGAATGGCACCCGGATGAAAGAGAAAGTCATACGTTAGGCCTTCCCAAAGCTCATTTGGAATTACGCCATGGGTTAGACATCATCGTTTCGTTAGCGAGCTTTGTACTCCTGCAAGGTCCGTGGCTCGCTGAAGACTTGCAGAAAAAAAAGGTTTTAATACCACTTATTCTCGCCATGCTGTGGTTGCACTATCGCAGATCTGAGACAACAACCGGCCACCGGCACTGGCAGCCGGTCTTTCCGGCCGAGGAAATCTGTGATTTGAAGACCGAAACGATTAGCCTTACGGTGTCACGAAAAGAAAGATGTCGACCGAAGATTTTTCGATGGAGAGTTCAATGAGATACGGTGTCGAGGACGATCTCCCGAGGATAATCATTGGGAACAGACATTGCTCGCGAGTGATTGACGACAATAAACTGTTATTCTAAAGCTTTCTCAACAAACTCTCGCTCATTACGGAACTCGCACACCGTCACGCTCACTCCTCGTGTGTATCAGAGAGATAGTGGATACGAATTCTTGTTCACGATAGATCCGTCCCCAAGTCCGTGCCTCGAACGGAGATTGCGCTTGCGTGCGCTTTGCGTGCCGTATTTCACCCTCGTCCCAGACCGAATCCATGGTGTGCGCTGGGGGCTCGTCTTCGCGGCATATGAGGCGCTTGGTTTGGCATTTACCCCGAACTCGATGACGTTCCGGGCGACCGCTTGCTTCCGAGAGCTGCTTTCGGGATCGGATACAGCCAGAATTCGTAACGGTCGTAAGAAGCTGTGCTGTCGACGACGACAGTCACTTTCAATTCACTCGTCCATCCATCCGTCCAGCCGTTCATTTTACCGTTCGTGATACAACCGCTAACCAGCGGCGGCGGCGACAATGACTGGTTATGACCCTTTGAAGACCATATCCAGCTGAAGTGAAAGGTGTTGCGCAAGCCGTAAATTACGCGCTACAGAACTATGGGTTGCAACTGCTTTCCGCAAACAGAAAAGAAACTACATTAACGAGCGGCTTCATGAGTGAGTTCGTCGTAGAAAAAAAATATGACACGTGAGCTGCGGCATTATCCTGCGTGGCCCTTAGAGAAACGATGAAGGGGAAAGTTCCGATATGGAAGCCATCGGATCGTGAAATGGCGGGATCTGGGAAAACTGCTAATTTCTGGGAATTTCGACAGACAATAGGAAACCTTCTTTTCGGATTGTTCCCATTGAGTGAAAGTATCGTGTTCGCCATCACTGGGACCCGAGATCCTTCGGTAGGACGAAAACGTGGAAGTTAATCTTTTCTCGACTCGGGTCCCCGTTATCCGAATCGGGCACGCGCCGCGCCATGCATGGGATACGGTATGGAGGAAAAAGAATAAATTGCAGTGAATTAGAATCGGGATTGTTTTCGTCATCTCCCTGAACGATACTTGGCTGCCCCCTTGGAAAAAATGCCATGCCATTTGACTCCATTCATCGGCCGTTACTGCCTCCCTCCGCCATGCGTGGGGATCTTTTGCTTTTCGCCAGTCTACTGTCCGCCTGCCTGCCTGCCCGTCGAGCGTCCCTCCGGCCGGCCGGCCAGCCCGCGGAACTATTGGACCAAAATATACAATCAGGTATGACCAACAACAAAGTGGCAGACGGACGACGGACAGGCGGGCGGACGGGCGTTCGGACAAGCAGGCATATTACATAAACAGTTGATCTTATGACCTGACTAATGGTCGCACCGAAATTGCCAGAGCTATCAGGAATAAATAGAGAAAAGCTGAAATCAATGAAATAACAAAAAGTATATATACACTTACACACATGCACGCAAAGAAACGCACACGCACAATGCTCAACGACCAGCCACTTAATGTAGAATCAAATGTTAAATGCCAAACTACATTAGCCACGATCACTCCTCAGATCTGGACTCCGGTCGGGTTCAAGAAAATCCCTCGGCTCCGGCTGGGGTCCGTCCGGGACCGATCGAAGGCATTTGTCCTGATCCTGAGGATTCATGTTGGACGGTTTGCCCATAGATAAGAACTATCGGTCGCTTGTTTTTCTCGATTTGGACTACGATCCTCTTCGCTCTTTTTCCTCCCGCATCGGAGTTTCATTGATCCTGATCCGCGATAACTCGCGCAGCGCCAGCGATAGCGAGAGCGTCGCGGAGCAGAAGATGCGAATCTGCTCCTGCGTCATCTTCTATATGCGTAGGATATCGACTGCGTTCCGTGGAAGGGTGAAAAACAGAACGGTAGCGGCGAGTATATATTCGATCATCCTCTATCAGTCCGTACTTTAGTCCAGCCTGAAAGCGCACCGACGATGTTTTTTCTGGGCACAGGCTTCATTCGACTTTTTCCAAAGCCTCAATCCCCCAGACCATGGCGGAAAAAGCGTACGTTGATTCCGCGAGCCGATGCCTCCAGGTGAGATCGAGACGCACTCATGCTCCTCTGAGAGAGCCGAGAGTTCGAGCCGGAGCCTCTACGGACGCTAATCTTCGCTGACTCCAACGGCCGTCTGAGCGGCATCTTCCCAGGTCGCTATGTGCGGCTGCCGTTCACGGCACCGTTAAATGCACGTTCAGAAGAGAAGGTGCTCGAAACATGCTCGAACAATCGCCCGTAATCGAATCTCCCAAGTTCGGAAAGTGAGCCAGCCGTCTCCCAATCGGGTTTTACGGGCGAAGTTCATCCTAGGCTCGCGGATTGGGTTCTAGAGCTTCCGGGAGAGAGCGTTGTGTAAACTCAACGTGGGCCGTACCTCCCCGCCCCCGGAGGGTCTACTGTACGTACGGGGCAGTGGCAATCCGTCGGAGTTCACTTAACCCAGTTTCTTCGTCGCCGGAGGGGCCAGTCGGCAGAGCGTCCGTCTAGTCGGCCGTTCACGAGACATGGGGCGGATCGATTGAGGGCAAATTACAAACCATCGATTCCACGGTACGTCTGGTGAGTGTCGAGCGACCCGGCGCCGAGCCAGCCCTCGGATGCGTCCTCTAGCACGGATCCCCAGAAAGGGCCGTTCTAAATAATATTCTGTGTCAGCATCTCCAATGACGAATCGCTTCATTCGGACATCGAAATAGCGTTGCGAACTCCAAGTCGTTGTTGTTGGCGACACGGCGCGTGGTGGTAATGTTTAGTTGTGCGCTTCCTTCCTGTGAGTTCCTCTCCTCCCCCGCTCTCTGGAAGAAAGCGTGAATCCTACTACTCTTGCCTCAGCCTTGGTTCAGCGCGCTGTGGCGTTCGCACCGCAACAGCTAGACCGGCATCAGCTGAGTAACCGTCGCGATGGACGACGGCGGGCCAAGACGAGGAACTTCACGAGGTTCCCATGTTGTGGCTGAAACCGAGACAGCCACCCGATTGGCCCACAAGGCCATGAGCGCCACGGGGAGTCGCTCGATTCGACCCCTGCACTGGGCCGTTCTCCTGGCGGCGGGCGCCCTCCTCCCGTTAATCATCTATGCCGCGCTGAGTGCTCTCCACAGCGACGACGTCGTTCTCACGGTTCCGATTACGAGGAAATCGATCGCTGACCGTAGTGACTACATGGGATTGCATCTACGGAACGGCATGAAAGTTCTGCTCTCGTCGAATCCCGAGACTCCGACCGGAGTCGCGATGATCTGTGTGATGGTCGGGTCGATGACCGATCCCGAAGAGATCCAGGGGCTCGCGCACTTCACCGAGCACATGCTCTTCATGGGCAGCAAGAAATACCCCTCGGAAGGCGCGCTGAAAACGTTCGTGTACGGACACGGTGGAAACTACAACGGCTTTACCAAAGACGACTCGACGTGCTATTATTTCTCCGTGGAGGCGGATTACCTCGAGGGAGCCGTTGAGATCCTCAGTGATATGTTCAAGCAACCGTTGATTCAACAGTCCTCGTCGAAACGTGAAGTTCATGCAGTGGACACGGAGTACCGCCGAGGATTGAAAACCGACTATTGGAGAAATCTCCAAATCGATAAGTTGACTTCGGATCAGACCCATGACTACCATAAGTTCAGTGTAGGAAATCAGAAAACGCTCGACGAAGGAGCAACGAAAATGAACTCGACCCTGGCACGGGAGGCGACCAAATTCTTCCACAAGTACTATTCGGCCGGAATCATGAATCTCGGCTTGCACGGTAAACAGCCTCTGAGTGAACTCAAACGGATGGCTGTCAGCAACTTCGCCGACGTTCAGGACAAGGGCATACCTCCTGCCAACTGGGACTACCATCCGTTCAAGCGGAGCAACCGTAAACTCATCAAGAGAATGTCCGACACCGAAGGCCATTCGCTGAGTCTCTCGTTCCCCATGCATGACATAAGTAAACAGCTTTACCCTCTTAAAACACTCCTCGAGCACAAGGACAAGGGCGGTCTTCACCGGTACCTAATCACCAAAGGATGGATGCGCAGCAGTTCTTCACAGACGAAGTGCATCCGAGGTTTCTGCATTTTCACCACGTCGTTCGATCTCACGGATAGCGGTTTCAATCACTGGCAGGATGTTGTGAGTCATTTTTTCTCGTACATTAATTTCCTCAAAACTCACCCCCTACCCGATCACTACCTGCAAGAGTTGGACGAGATCCTCAAGATCGATTACCGGTTCACGTCGTCCTTCTCTCTCATCACGCAAGTGCAAGTTATGGAGAAATACAATCTTTCGGATCTGGCCTCCGCCCCGTACCTCCTATTGGATTACGAACCCCACTGGATCGACGAAATCCTACACAAGCTGAATCCCAATAATATGCGTCTGATGATTTCGTCGGCGCGCTTCAACGGCTCGACTGATAGGTTGGAACCACTGTACAGCACTGAGTTCTCGATCGAAGACCTGTCCCAGAGCAGCTTGGACGATTGGAAAACGTCGACTGAGGGCCAGAACGGCTATTTCTACCCGCCGAAAAACAATTGGATCCCTCACAACTTCAGCATCCACGAAAAAGACGAAGACTGGCACGCGGTGCCGAAGCTGCTCGTTGACGACGACCGGGTGCGCTTGTGGTATTTCCAGGACACGTCGTTCAACTCGCCGCGATCGAAAGCCGAAATCTATCTCCGAACGAATGCTATCCGTGAAGATCGAAGCCGCATGGGTGTGTCCTTGGTTGAGGACTGTTTCAAGAGAAGTATCGAGGAAGAGGCCTACGGACCCGCTATCGGTGGTCTGACAGCCTACTTCCAGAGCGACATCGGAGGATTCCGAATCACAGTTCAGGGGTACAACGAGAGACTCCCTGAGTTGGCGAACCTCGTGCTCAAGAATTTCATGACTTTCCAACTGACCGAAGAGTGTTTCACGCTATCGAAGAAATCCTGGCTAAAGAACCTCAAGGAGTCGGAGCGTTCTAGCTCGAGCCTCCACAGTTTCATCCGGGGTCGTCTGATCTACCACGAGTTGAGCCGTCGGTGGCGCGAGCGTGAAACCGCCATGATCCGATGTACTCTGCCCGAGGCTCGGGACCTTTTGAATCGGATCCGGCGGAAACTGGCAGCCGAAGTTTACGTGTATGGCAACATTGTCCAAAGCGATGCTTACAGTGTCCTCAATGCAACCAAAGAGCTTCTAAGCGGTGAGTATTTTGGATTTTTTTCGTTTCCGGTGATGGTGGGTACGTGTTCTCATGGCCGAAGGGTCCGACGGTAACCATCGATTCTCAAACTCGATCCATCTAATTCGAAACGGCTGAGTCAACGTCAGCGGGGAAATTAGTGATTTTCGCTTTGCGAGGCCATACAACTCGATAAGTTGTTTGTCACAAGCAGGCAGCAGCAGCGGCGGCGTGTTCCAAGACACGCAGGCTTTCTTCTACTGAACCGTCATGCCTCACTACCGGCGCTGGCATGGAAATCTCATTTTCATCCGAAGTAATCTAATCGGCTGTCTCATCATCGTCAGATTTGGCGCACGAAAAAAAAACGTTGCCGGTATTTAGAATCTCTGGCGGACGCAAGCACTCGGCGCCACCGTAAAAGGTCGTACGAAGCAAAGCCTACAAGGGGACAAACCGCGTCTCATTAGGTGTTTATTCAGCCGAAGTCAAGCGATGCCAATAGAGACCTAGTTTCATGGGGTCGCTCTAATTCAACCTCTTGCGATTACTCGGCTCTGCTCCAGAATCGACGCTCGTGATTCGAACGCCCTCCCATGTAGCGCATAATCAGCCTAATCAAGGCCGCAGATGTAACTTTCGATCGCGACCCGTTATCTCGATATCTCTCGTATCAACCTGTTACTTTGTTTACAAACAAGATTCGGTACGGAGGAGAAGCGCCCACGGGCTTTTCACTTCGTCATATCATCATCGTCATCATCATAATGACGTATATTCAGGGAAGGTTTTCACCTGAACGACTATTCCTTCCAGTGAGCGAAGCCCGTCTGGACGATCTCAAATCCCTAGCAGAGCACTCCATGAAGCGAGGCACCATTAATCGTCTGAGGGAGCACTTCGATGAGCAAACATTAAATTCAGTCTACGTCTACTACGAGATTGGACGTCGCGAACAGACAAGAAATTTAGTTCTGACAGAACTATTCGTCAACGCCATCGCTGCAGAAACCTCGAACGTTCTGAGAGGACGCCAACAGTTGGGATACTCGGTTGGCGTCGTTCACGAGCGGCGCAGCAAAACTCACGGTAAGCGGGTCGGATTGATTTTACAACAATTTTCTTCGATCACACTTCCAAAGATACCGGCTGCGATCGGCCGGCAGCTCGTGACAAGATGAGATGTCGATCTCGATTTCATACGGTGTGCTCGAAAGCACTCCAGCTGCCGTTGGCGAAAGAAGCGGCGGATTGAGGGAACTTCCACACAGACATGTGATCCATTCGATTGTTTCCCTGAGCATCGTTGGTGACCCCGCCTGGGATATGAGGGAGTGTCTGTCCTCACGGAAACGGATCGTGCAGGAAAATTTTTCGCAATGAACGAGTGTCAAAAGAAGACATTGTACAAGCGAACATACACAATCACATGGATTCGCACACATACACACACACTGACGCCGTGTCATAATAGTGTCTACAGCGAGCCCGCGTTCTCGTCACGCAGCAATGTCAACAACGCCCGATAAAGTATCCGCTGCCGAAGTCATCGAGGCGGAAACACAAAAGACACTGTGGCGACACCTCACTGTCAGCCAATTCTTGTACCAGTACTGCGGTACTGCCACATCTCTTCCGTACACAGAACAATCGTTCCGTACGCATACGCTCAAATATCGCAAAACCTTGCACCTTGACAGACGCCGAAGGTTTCCGTATTCCGTATCCGGACGCAGCTCACTCCGATCAAGCGTTCGCTCGCTTCCGTTTCAGGTGTCGCGGTTTACGTCGAGTCGGGTTCCAACACGAGTTTCGTGGAAAGTCGGATTCAGGATTTCGTAAAACGACACGTTACGACTTTCCTCACAGACATGAGTGAAGAGACCTTCCAGCAACATCTCACCGCTCTTGTGACAAAGAAGAGAACCAAGCCAAAAAATGTCTACGAGTCTGGCGACCGGTGAGTAAATCCATCCTTCTTGAGTGAGAAAAAAACTCACTTATCCCATGATTCGCCGATTTAACAGCTCACATCTCGACGCACATTTCGCCAGTGTGGAATTTGCGCTGTCGATCAGCATGGAGAAAAAGAGTAGGTGGCGACGCATCAAATGACACGGATGCTTTGTGAGAGTCTGTCGTCATCGTCGTTTGCCGAGATAATCGCATACTTGTCTCATTTGAGACGAATCTCTCTCCGTCTCGCTCGCTCGCTCCCGTAGCATTCCCGATTCAGTTGTAATGCATGGGAGGAGTTCGAAGCGGCTCGCTCGTTCCGCAGAACCCGTCTGTTTGTTTGCGGGCTGTCGCTGACTCCCTCCTGTAGATTTCTCCGTTCATTTCATTCTTCTCTTTCTTCCATTTTTTTCTCGTGTGGATCACACCCGAATGACGCCGACAGCCGCGTCGCGGTCTAGAATGATGACCTGAAAGACAAACGTCGATTTTTTCCCCCGTTCGCCCGTTGTCGATGCTTCCCCGCAACTCCTGCCAACAACCCGCTCAGCTTAAATCGTCAAAAATTGTCATGCGGTGCTCTTTGACTCGCCAGCGATGATGTGGGGTCGAATACCAGTCATTTGAGTGTCTATTCACAATGTGGCCTGCATAGAAGTTGTTAGCTTTTGCGAAACCGTGGGGTCGAGTTTTCTGCTCACGACGAAGTCCTTCACTAAGCCCCGTGCTCGATGCCAATGATCGAGGGATCTCAAGAGTGAGAACCACAGGGGATACCAATGATGGCCTTTCGGGACGCTGAAGTACAGTCTTGGGCCATTTCGCTCCTACCGTGGCTCGCAGGGTCCTTACCGGAGATTGGGGCTCTGCATCAAAATTTTCCAGATGACACGCCAAGTCGTTGTCGGATGGAAAACTGACGCTGCAAAGTTTTTCTCCCCCTTGACTCTGGGGAACCGGATCCCTACCCTGAATGTGGCATCTTGAGAGGCAAGAATTTCCTTCCCCCTTCCCCCGTGAGAGGCAGAACGTCCAGAGGGAGCCTGCCGCGGGAAGCTTGAATACCGGAGCTTCAATCGATCTCAGCGGAGAGAACCTCCCCATCACTCAGGCGACGAGAACGGAATCAATCCTCGGCTTCTGTACAGAAGGGACGGCTCGCTGTCAGATTCCGAAGAGCGACTTCACGCACGATTTGAAGTTCTCTAACACAGGAAAAGGGATCACTGCGGATCTGCAGGTGACGCGCATACCTCTCCAATCGTTGGACTCTCCGTCCGTCTCCTGACCATTGGGGGGCTCCGAGCCAGGAGTCGGTCGATGCGCCACATCGTGCTCCTTATCACGCACTATTCACAAAAAGTGAAAATTCGACCGCAAAAGAAGTTTTTCCATATCCGGACGCGCGCCCAGCTTCACGGTTGTTGTGGGATGCTAAATCTGGGTCGAGATATAGGCGCCTGACAGACGGACAGACAGAGTGCTGCTGCAAGTTCACGACTCCAATCACTGGGAGAAGGGGGAAAACCAGAAATGTGGGAGCTGCTGCACCGCCAGACCCGAATAGAGCTCCGTCTGATGTTGCGTCCCCTGCGGGAATTTCTGATTCGTATTTGGTTCGGAAGCGAGCGGGGAAATGGAGCACGCGGCCTGACAGATACGGATTCTGAATTTGATCCGTCGCTCTCCGGGCCCTGGAGCGAGGGAACGTTCCAGGAGCTCAGTTCGACGTCTTCAGACGACATGTTATCCGGAGCGGTTTGAAAAATTCTCCGTTCCCCGGCAGGATCCCCGGTTCCCGCTCTCTCGGACCCGTCCACACGTGGAGTAATCATTTCGATCTCGGGTACCATATCATGCGGGTTTTGTTGCTTCCAATGCTAATGCATTTTGCGTAAACATGTCTCCCACAATCGAAAGCGAACACACTCCAAATTGGGAATTCACTTTCGCCGATAGTATATCCTGATTGGGTATCTTATTTTCTGGCTCGCATAGAATGAAGGCACGTCGTTTTTGGCTGATGGAGACGTGAAATGCGCCCGCGGAGGAACGTTCGCGCATCATCTCATGCATCAAAGTACACCCACGACGGCACCGTGAGAAACGATCCGCGAATAGTCAGCGGCGTTCACTCAGAGTTGGCACCTGATCTCGTCGAAGAGACTACCCGCATGATGAGCGAAAATGTAGAATATCAGAAAAAAAAATGTTGACGCGGTCTCGTTTCTGCAAACAGCAAAGCGAGGGAGAAAAGGTTTCTGAGCGAGCGACAAATGAAAAACATGAATGCAGATTCCCCAAAGCTCGTTGCGCAAGTTTCTGAGCGATTCTTTTCCAATCTGGGTGGCTTGACGCTCATCATCATATGCCACCACCACATCGGTAGTGAGTTTCCCAACCAATTCATGGAGTCGCGGGTGATCCGCCCGCTCGCCCATTGACGCGAACGACACAGGATGCGTCAATTTTAATATGTGTTAGGAATCACTTGAAATATTTCACCATCTGACAGTTGCTACTTGACGGATGCCGTGGGACGCACGGGAGCGACTTGAATACTCAGCGGTACAACAAAGTCGTTTGTTGTTTCCAGGTTCACCGCAGAAATCATCGACGGAAATCTGCTCTTCAACCGAACGGAGATCGAAGCTATCAGCGCCGAAGTTCTGACGAAAGCCGACCTCATCACGCTCCATCGAAGATACATGCTCAACCCGACCTCGTCAAAGGCGCTAATAACGCTCATCGAAAGCGGTCCCGAGCGAGAAGGAGATGGCAAAGTCGAAACGGTCCGTTACGACGGCTCGCGTACGACGTTCGACACCATCGAAGATTACAAGAAGACTCTGCCGCTAATTGAGTGGTAAAATGAACCCACACACCCACGACATTGCTGTAACGCAACTCTTACAGAACCGCTTACAAACGCGTCGACCTTTCCATCCGAAGAAAACACACACACTCACACACACACTCTCACTCACTCAATCACAAAGACGAACTTTTATGCATAGAGGGGAGAAAATACCTCGTCCGTGAAGGCTTTCGCTCGAATCATCGTCATTCGAGTGCCATCTTCGGCGACGACAATCGCTCGATAACCGTTTCGGGTGCTCACTTGAATCATAGCTTTGATCTGACTGAGATTTATCATTCATACGTAAAATTGCAGACTGCGGATGGAGCACCGAAAGACGAATGTTGCAATAGGTCGCATTTAAAGCCTTCAACCGCGGTTTATCCGCTTGCTGCTTATCGGTAGGTATCCGCCAACACCACCGCCGCCAGTAAGCGAAGAGAAAAATAGGAAGAAAACATTATATATTAAGAGGAAGCCATATAACGTACAATGTGGCAGATAGCTTTCACCAGGCTGGAACATGCTTTCAGCGGGTCTACCCCGAGGCGGTAGTGCACGGTTGCAGTTTCCTAGTCGCCCAGTCGTTCCTCAGAAATCATCAGCTCGTAGAGAAAGCGAATACGCTTCGATTTTTCTCTCTCGATTCTATCGTATCACGTGCGGGCCGATCCAGTCCCATCGAGTCTTCCGCCAAGCGCGGGCTCCGACTCCGAGATAATCGCTGAGGGTCGAGTGTCAGGACTGGAGAATCAGCCGACGTCGTGCTTTTCCGCATGCTCACGTGGGCGACTTTTCGTTCGAAATCAGTTCTGTCCTGATCCTACCGGCTTCCATCGTGCATAAGAGGGGTCTCAGGACGATTCCGACGACAGATTCATATCGTATGCAGCGGGTACCAAACCGCGTCCGGAGCCGCAGCGCGAAGTCGTCCTGGTCCATTCGAGCTGTCAGTATTCTTTAGCTACTGTGCGGTCCGAATCGACCCGGTCGACTTCTGTGGTCGCTTGACTCAAGCTTCTCGGTCGGCCGGCTCGTTTGTTGTTTGTTGATTTTTTTTAGCTTCAATCCATTGGCCTGCGCGGAGTCGGAGGTGGCAAACTGAAAAGTTGACAGCCGACGGGTCGAATTACGTAATCTGTCGGTAACATTTATCCGATCCGCCGCAGAGCAGGGCGGTCGAGCAGACATCCAGTCTGGCTGATGTCAAGGCTTCCCAGTTTTCGTTCAAGCGCGCGTTCCTGTTGTCTGACCGCCTCGTCGACGCACAGTTCGTTATATGAGGTACTCGTCGACGTCGCTTGTTCGACGACGACGAGTACCTCATCTAGAACTGTTTCTAGGAGTGACTCGGGAAAAGCTCCAGAAAACTGTCAATTCACCGGTCAGTCAGTCGGTCGGTCAATCAATCGGTCTTGACGAAGCTCACGATTACTCGATCGGTAGTTTCATTCGTCGACTTCGATCAGCAGTCGTCTCTATGCCGGTTTCTGTTGATCAAGCACGAGTGTCCGAAATGTCAAGGTTTGTTTTCTGTGAACGTTGCGCTGTCATTATTGCTATCATCATGATCATCATTGTCTTCATCATCCCAAAACCATCAACGCCACATGATACAACAATAACGATATAAAGAAAAGAACAACCGCAACAATGATCACGGTAGCGGTCGCGTGGCCAAGCTTTCGCTTTCAGTGGCTTGGCAAGCCGGCCGGTCGGCCGCCGGGTCGATTTGTTTTAGATTCAACCGGCGACCCCTTCGGATTCAACCTCGGTGAAATTATTGTACAATAAGCCCCCGCTCTGTGACAAATGCTTGCGGGAGCTGCCACTGGCCATCGCTAGCTTTCCATGTATTGGCTGCGATGATATCGGCAAGCGATGAGCTTATCGTCCCGTCGCCGGCGAGGGAACCATTGAACATCATGCTAAGCATTTTAACGGTGATCATCGTGGAAAATTTGAACACATGACCGTTTTCCATACGGTTTGCTTCTGCTGTTGTCCGAAGACACCATTCATGATAACGACCGGCGGCAGCCGCATTCGCAGTATCTGGAGTGCTGACAGTGCATGAATACGCGAATCGACGTCCGAATGGCTGTCTGTCAGTTTGTCTGACGGGGGACGGACTGACTGACCGCTTGGCTGACTGACGACGACAGCGACGACGAAGTCGGAATGGGAGACGCTAGTTTTTCTTTCCGAATGAACGCCACCCGAGGTCGAGGGTCGCTACGTTGGGGGAGGTGATGACCCAGTCGACGCTCCATCATTTGTTTGCTATTTCGTCCGTCCCTACGTTCTTTCGTTTGCGCTCTGCCAACACCATCGATCGGCACCGATATGGGCCGACGCAAGCCCTGCCGTTGCAGTCACTTCGGTCGCACTTCTACATGCAGCAATGGCGGCACCAACTACAGAACGTTAACTTGAAGCGACGGCAAACGGGCAACTTGCTTGGCAGCCAGGTTAATCTGAAAGCGGCTTCCAGCGGAGATACGCTGTTCGCCGCTTGACGTTGCTCGACTGACGAAAAGAAGAAACGAACGCATAAACAATCGAACCTCTCAGGTTGAAGCCGGCTCGGTCGGAGTGAGGTCGAAGATTGCATTCGACCCCCGTTTCGACAGCCAACGACAGAATCACCACCGAACATAGAGTCATTCGGATCGTTCGGCCTGGAAAACCTTCTCCCCCCTCCTCTGGAAGTCTCTCTGATACTGAGGATACGGCCCTTTCGGCGAACCGCAACATATCAGTTCCTCAGTCCGCTCGGAGCTCTTAACGCCTTCCGTGAGAAAGAGCTGGTCGTTGGGTGGCAAATTATTTTTTCAAAGGAGGAAAAAACGCCATGCCGTGTTTCCCAGAAGAAATCTTTCAAGTTACAGTTGTTAAACTTTCCGGGCCTGTGGGCAGAAGTCAAGGCTGATAACTATCGACGATAGGAAATTGTTCAGTGACGCGACATAGTTTCTTCACATTTCTTGTAAATAGCGGTGTCAAAGAATTCCGGACGCGCTGGGAAAACGGTGAAGACGCAAGGAGACACAATGTGATGAGGAAGCACCCGAGCGTGCCGTTCTCCTCTGACAAAGGTGCCACCAAAGGAATTATTTTGTTCGGCAGTCGTCGTGCCTGAAACGGCAGGCACATCGACAACAAATCATTTCACGGTCCGAGTTCTACCTTATTCCCGGACCATTATCAATCATTACGATATATACTGTATATACGATTCACTTGAAAAATTTTGTGGGGTCACTTGCCGACCATATAATGCATAATAGCGTAGCCAGGAATAGATAGCTTGGAAAGAGTATAAATCGAACGAGCAAATGAATAAATTCGAATACGTTTTCGGAATCCGAGAATTGTTCTGCTCATCCGGATGATACGAAGACAGGAGATTATGATAATGGATGCCCCATGGAGAAATGAAGATTATCGGGAGCTATCGAACGAAAACGAAGAATATTGTTTCAATGACGATGTCGGAGGGAGGTCAATCATTTCCCGGAGGAGCATTCGGATTCTAATACCGGAACGCTATTCGGATGGAGGCACCGTTGTAGCTCCTGCCGCATTGGAGACACTTAACTAATGACTGGTGAACTCTGAGTCGGAGTTCGAGGTGGAACGACATCAGAAACATGGCGTGAACAACCCCGGGCTCCATCCACTGAGCATTTCCCCTCCGGGACAGAGTGGAGCGCTTCTTCTGTGGATTCTGGACGAATCCTCTCTTTTCGGAAAAAGAGCGCGTCATACGTACCCCCTTGAGGGAGCTTGACGAATGAAGCAGGACCGATTCGAAGACGGTCCTACTGCCGCGGTAGCGTTCTCGCTCCCCGATGGTGGCTCTATATCGGTGGGCGACTAGGAAATGCGACTAGAAATCCCTGCGTAGCGTTTGAAGATGAGTTATCATAGCTCGAGTCGATTGCCTGACGACCGGCTAGGGCAGAATCGCCTTCGACAAATTCGTTCACACGCGCTGGAACTTGATTTGGAACAAGAAAGTTTTCATCTTCACTTTCGTCACGACATACGTTCATATAGAATTACGACAGGCGCTCCTCGCTTTGACTGACTGGCTGGTTGGTTGAGTGTCAGCCAGTCAGTCAATGTGAACTCATGTATTCATTCATCGTCCTATTCACCTGAAATTGACAAAGTGACTTTGACCTTCCGGTACTTACGACTCGAGCCGGCGCAACAACAAACGCTTTTACCGTCCGACGACGTGGCTCTGCGGATCTTTGCGATCGGCACGCGCTCAAGTAGCGGACCGATCGCAACCAGGTGGTTTCCTTTCGGATCTTCGTATTCCGTCTAGCGTATCTGAATAAGTCCGTACACATCGTGAATCGCTTCCCCGTGAGAAAGCCCGTTGAGCGATCGATGGAGGCGAGTCAAGAGCGTCCACGGAGCCGGCTCAGGCAACGCTTCGAATCGATTGAGGGAAATCTAAAATCCGTGAATATACCACGCTTCCCAGGAATGGTCCACAGCTGCTATCTTCCCTTTTCATCCGTCTGAAATTCATATTCTTCGATTTTCGATCTTCAGACTTAGAGGTGGATGAATTGTTGCTCTGGATCAAAACACGAACGCTTGCCCAACGTAGCTCCCTTAGTCACGGTCGTCTCAAATGCGAAAGAAGCCCGGAAAAACACGGGCCGCCTGGATAGTATTCCCCGCAGCCAAATTTAATGCTACGCTCTGTGAGAAAGCTCCTGTTCGAACGGTTGATGGAGTCGAACTCGAACTCGTTTCTCACACCCCGTAATCGAGGCTCATCGAGACCCTGATGTGTAGCATATCGCCCCTAATCAGAATTGTCTTGTCGCACAGAGAGCCTCTGTCGGAGGGTATCTCCGGGAACTTCAGTGCCGCGGAGCGGATTTTTGCGAGATCATCATGAGATTTCCTAAAGGGGGTTCGGCCGTTCTTCACGAGAAAGTACATCAATCAGGACCGACGACGGTCAATCCCCATGATCATTCTGCCTAGAATTCAGCAATCCATAATGCAATCCGGCCATGCTGTCTGACTTGAGCGCCTCGGGAGTTGCGCTAAATTCGGGACTCCTCTGAGCATCGAATGCCGCATAGGTTTTAGCTGTTTCTACGCTTCCTCGCAGATCCCCAAGGCGGGGCTAGGACAGACTTGACTCGGAACCCTTCCCTTGCTGAGGCGCGGTTTATCATTCAATAAAATGAAGAAGGAGAAGCGCATCTGATCGAGGAACGGTTGATTAGATGAGCTGCAGCCGAGACAGCTAAACTTTGAGTTGGTCAATGCGATATAGGCGATCATGGGGTGCCTAGAACGGGAGCGAGAAAGATAAGCGCCCCAGCCCCCGAATGCCGGAGAGGAGGCGCAATCACGGAGAAAGGCGGAATATATGCCGGTCTGCCCCGGGCGCCGACCCGGCTGGCTGCGCCGATTTCACGCAACGATCCGAGATCTGCGATACCGTTAGCCTAAGTGAGAGTAATGGCGAATTCTATCCTCTCAGAGAAGGAAGATTGAGCTTGAGCCAGTCGTATCAGACGAATACTTAGTCTTGGAAATCTTGGAAGTTCCGCCGCGCGCTTAGGACAAGTTCGAAAATTCGCGCCGCGACAGCTCGCATTCGCCCAATGGGATGATGTAGAGGAAGAAATTCCGGACACGCTCCCGGAATCACCGCGGACCAAGAATGCATTCAATCATGATTCTAGACCGGTGCGGCGTGAGCAGAGTCCTAGTCCGCGCGCAACGGAGGAAATCTCCACTCTAAAGCTCGGATCTACCTAAGCGTCGGAAGGAGTTCGAATGTTTTGACGCGGCGCCCTCGCTGTGTTCATTTCATTGCAAGATGGCGAGCGAACCGCTCAAGCAGTGTGGACAGCCTCATTTGGCGAAGCAAGACTTGGCCAAACTCGTGAGTATCACCTCGACACTACGCGTAGAGGGAGTTATCTACTAAATCTCCACCCTGGAGGTGCCAAACCGCTAGTGGTTTCCCCGGTGCGCCGCAAAAGCTTCCCGGCACCCGGCAGGCAACACATGGTCGACGTTCAGAGGGGTGTTCCATATTGAAAACGATTCGAGGGAGCTGACGACGGTTCCCCGAATTTCAATGTCGTTCATCTCATCTGAGCTCGGATGACGCGACGAGACAAAACAAAGCTGAGAGGAGAGCTCCATTTTTTTCCTGTCGCCCTCGATGATGCAATGCTCCTTCCATTCTGATTGTGAGCCTGAAAACAGTTTCCCTCTCGCAGGATGTCAAAACTCTGAACCCATTCACTCACGAGGTCATCAGTCGGCAGGCAACTATAAATATTGGTGAGTCCTCGAGCTGGGTTCCCCATCGGCATGAATTTTCCTCGCGTAATTAATTCCGAGCTCAAACTCTTTATTCAATGAAAAATCCTTAACGACCGTCACCGGCCTTTTCTAGGTACCATCGGACACGTAGCTCACGGCAAGTCAACCGTTGTCAAGGCTATCTCTGGTGTGCAAACAGTCCGTTTTAAGAATGAGCTCGAGAGGAATATCACAATCAAGCTTGGTTATGCCAACGCCAAGGTGTACGAGTGCGACGACGAGAAATGCCCCCGGCCAGGACGTTTCCGGTCCTACGGGAGCAGCAAGGAGGACGACTTCCCCTGCGATCGCCAGGGGTGCAATGGACGCATGAAGCTCCGACGACACGTCTCGTTCGTCGATTGTCCCGGTCACGATATTTTGATGGCCACAATGTTGAACGGAGCCGCCGTCATGGACGCCGCCTTGCTCCTGATCGCTGGGAACGAAAGTTGTCCGCAACCCCAGACCTCGGAGCATTTGGCTGCCATCGAGATCATGCAGCTGAAACACATTCTCATCCTCCAGAACAAGATCGACCTTGTCAAGGAGGCTCAGGCTAAGGAGCAATTCCAGCAGATAACAAAGTTCGTTGAAGGAACTGTCGCTGAAGGTGCTCCGATCATACCCATCTCAGCCCAGCTCAAATACAACATTGAAGTTATTTGCGAGTACATTATCAAGAAAATCCCGATGCCGCTCAGAGACTTCACTTCGGAACCTCGGCTGATTGGTAAGTGGTTCCAATCTCGCGGGAACCTTCTCGTATACCGGTCCATAATTATCGGAGGAGAGAGCGATTTTTTTCCGTTAAGTTCCTTCCGTAGACCAAGTTCCGCATTTTTTGCGCAGATCGTAATGTTCACCATTTTAATGATTATAGTTATCCGATCGTTTGACGTCAACAAGCCCGGATGCGACGTAGATGATCTGAAGGGAGGAGTCGCTGGAGGATCAATTCTCCAAGGGGTGCTGCGGGTGGGGCAAGAAATCGAAGTGCGTCCCGGGATCGTCACGAAGGATAGCAACGGCAGGATGATGTGCAAGCCGATTTTCAGTAAAGTGCTGTCTCTATGCACCGAGCAAAATGACCTCATGTACGCCGTACCCGGGGGTCTTATAGGTGAGACTGCTTCTCTCGACTCTATTCGATGCGATAGATAGGATTCTCAGGTGTACCTCAACGATGGAAAAGCTAACTCGCCCAAAGAAATGAGCTCATGTCGCTGATTTTCATCATTTCAGGTGTTGGTACGAAAATCGACCCGACATTATCTCGCGCTGACCGTATGGTGGGTCAAGTTCTCGGGTCAGTCGACGCTTTGCCGAGCATTCTCACCGAGTTGGAGATTGCGTTCTACCTTCTCAGGCGTCTTCTCGGAGTGAGGACCGAGGGCGAGAAAAAAGGAGCGAAGGTTCAAAAACTGTCAAAAGGTGAACTGCTCATGGTGAACATCGGCAGTTTGTCCACCGGTGGACGTGTTGCCGCCGTGAAGAACGATCTTGCCAAAATCGTTCTTACGAACCCCGTTTGCACTGAAGTTGGGGAGAAAATAGCTCTCTCCAGGAGAGTTGAGAAGCATTGGCGACTAATCGGATGGGGTCAGATTAAGAGAGGAATTTCGAACAATCCAGTCAGTCGAGGCTGATCATGAGAGGATAAGATATCGAATTTTCAAATAAAACGGCTACGGCTGCTGGCCATCTGAACGGATCTGCTCATTCGACGACGGAACGATATGTATACTCAACCTGAGCGGTTCGCTCATCTAAGCTCCGATTTCAGCGAGAATGACATGTCACGGGGAACGATTGAGAAAAATCGTGCGTAATTTATTCACATAACTATCTTCCGTCCTTCTGCCGAGGACTCCTCGCCCATCTAAGTTCCTCTCAAACATTTACAACTATTCGTTAATAAGGATGGATATAAACAGCGTTTGACTAACCGGATTCGGAAATCGATTTGTACAATTTCACTATGCTCTCCAACGACACGTCGCCCCCTCTGAGCTGCAGGAACAACGACGGCAAGCTTCTCGGCAACGAATCTGATTTTCGTCCGTACCACACCTCGAACTCCGCTCCGTCTATTCTAATCTTTTTCTCAACGTCATCCAAAATGCCGAGGATCACGTCTTCGCCACAAACCGAAATCCGTCTCGAGCGCGCATACGCCATGAAGTCCCGGATCAGTTTGAGCTGTTGCAGATTGAAAGTCGAATTCGAATCGACCCGGAGCGACATCAACTCGGTGAGAATCGAAAGCATTTCGAGTTGTTCGGCCGCGGCACATTCCATCACGACCGTGCAGAGTTTCTCCTGCATCTGATCTCGTTTTCCACTGACGGACAGCATGTTCTCGACGAAGCGCGCGACGATCGGGGTATTCGAGAAACTTTCCAGATGAACCAGTTTCCTCTCGGAAGTGCGGCCCCTGACCGCATCCTTGATGTGGCATTGCGCCAGAGCCGTTTTGTATCCCTTGGGATCATCGACGTACGACATCGTGCCCGCCTTCTGTTTCACGTGAATGAGAGATCGCTTCTCCAGCGCGTCTCTGAGCAGATCGAAATTCTTGCTGCTGAACTCTATGCGCCAGTATCTCTCATCGTCCACGATGACCGATTCGATTTGATCGAGATCCGGTAAGTTGCACGGGGCGACCAGCCTCTCGCTATCGGCGGCGTTTTTGAAGTTCACCGTGATCGACGCCTTGACCAGCTTATCCGAAACCACGTCTTGGCAAACGAACAGCCGTGGTTCGACCGCGAGCACGTACAGGTGTCTCAACGCTTGCAGATGGTAGCGATTATCCGAAAAATGCGTCGGGAATTTCGGGTAGAGGGCGCACACGAGAGCCGCGATCGCTTCGGGCTTCGTCGAGAGCGTGAGCGTGCCTCCGCCCAGGAAGAGAAACCCGATCGCCATGTGGATCATCATATGGCTGCCGTAAAAAACGCAGTTCGTCCCCTGTCCGATACGTTTCCGGAGAACGCGACAGAGCCGAAGTATTCGGAGATCTCCGGTACCGGCCATCACCAAACTACTGGCGAGAAGACAGACCAGCAGACTCGTTTCGATGGTGTTTTTCCCCGCCTGTTCGGCTGCGGGCTGCTTCTGAATATCGTAGAACATCATCACGTAGTGCAGAAGAGTTCGGAAGGCTGCCTGATCGCTCGAGCCGGCGTACTTGAGTCCCAAGACGAAACAGGCCCCGGCCAGGGTGTTGCAGTAAGCCTGAGTCGCTCCTTCATAGTCGACGGTGTCGTAGGGTATCTCTTCGGCGGGTCTTTTGAACGCGTTTTCGGAAATGAATTTCGTCAAGTGGCTCTCCACCCATTCCTTGGTCGGAGCGACCTGTGACCACATGATGAGACCCTTGCTCAAGGTCCTGAGCAGCAGATAGTCTGGTTGAACGGTGTCCAGAAGATATTGCGTCTCGGGTACATTCATCAGAGAGGCCATGTTCAAGTTTTCCGTACGGTGGTAGATCAAACCGAGGGCCAAAGTCGCTCCGGGAGAGGTGACGCTTATATTGATCTGATCTCCCTCGCGGATTTGGTAGCTCGGCGATCGGTAGAATCTCGTCACGTCGAACTGGGACGGTCCACCGACCATGTGTTTGTAAAGTGCGTTGCTGATTTTCGTCTGGATCGCCTGTGAGGTCGATTCTCCCTTGCAGAGCATCACCATGCCCAGAGCGATTCCGGCACTCAGCGAGTGGCTTTCTCGGTCGACGCTATGCTCCATTTCGGGACCCGGGGGTCGGCCGATCTCACTGAGGAGCACGTCGGACATGTGATAGTGTCCCGAGCCCAAGTACAGGAGGCCCAGAGCGGAGATCGCTGCGACTCGACACTCTGCAGAGACGTCTAGCTCCGTCGAGGTGGCCGGAAGGAGCGCATCGATGTGAATGGCGATAAGATTCGTTGCTTCCTGACTCATGCTCCCTCTTTTCGAAGCGCCCAAACCGAGGAGCACCCCCGCGCTCATGATTGCGTTCCTCTTCCTCAAAAGTTCACAGATGAATACGGGATTCAGGTTCGCCAGGTGACCGCCGAGCCCGAGCCCCAACATGAATCCTCCGAATTCCAACATGCCTCCGTTGTTGTTGGCTTCGGAATTCATTTCCTGATAGGACTCGTTGAAGGCAATCCATGAACTGGTGACGTTCTTTGAGTGACGAGCCACTCGCAAGCCGGCGGCAACCCCGTTATGGAACAGTGGCCAGTGCGTCATGTTCAGAGGGGTGTCGATGCTTTTCAGTTCGACAGCCATACCCTTTGGACCGAGACGTCCCGTGAGATTACAGTGCGCGATCACGATCGGCTCGCTGATCACTGGGTGCACCGAGAACAGGGTCAGCATGCCTCGACCCAGCGGCAGGGCGAGCGTTCGGATGCACAAGCTGTAGAGGCATCGTTCCTGCTCTTCCGCGAAGTCGTGATCCAGAACGTCAGCGCCCTGTCGTAGGTTGATCGTCACCGGGCTTGATGTGCTCAGCATCGAACAGACCTCTTTGATACGGGTATCGTCGTCGAAACGAAGCGACAGCATCGAATGGAAAAGGTTCTCGAAGCCTTCGCCTCCTTTGGTGGTTTCGGTCGGCGTCGGGATGAACCAATGCGTTTTCGACGACCGGTACTGCGTAACTTGGGCGGCGAGATCCCCACGGCCGAGGAGTGTGTAGAGCTCGGGACTGAAGTCGTGAGTCGATCGATTGGCCAAATTCATGATCAGATTGCTAAATATGAAACGGTACGCTAAGCGACTGTTGAATTTCGAAAGGTCCGGCGCGGAGAGGACTTCCTCGAGATTGGCGTTGCGGCTCACGAAGATCCGACTCGAAGGAAGCTGCTTGTACGACATTTCCGCATTCTCGATGAGCGTGCCGAAAACCTGGATCGTCGACTGGATGCTCTTACTGACACCAGCCAAGCACGGGAACGCCGTGCCGCTGGAATTCCCAGCCAACGCCTCGAGAATGTATTTCACGATACTCGGAGGTTCCGACTCGAAGAAGTGGGGAATCTGGAGGTCTTTCAGTCCTCTCTCGGGATTTCTGTGCGTTCGGGTCAGCTTCGAGTCGGGGAAGTCCTTGGCGTAGAATTCCCGGTAATTGGGCAGGGCCATGGCGGTCGAGAGACGACCCAGGAAACTCGCCATGACGCTGCAGTGGATCTCCATGATGCTGCTCGTTTTGAGTTCTTCGTAAACGATGTGCAACGCGGACAGTACGTGGTAGCTCATCGCACTGAGGACATTGGGGCTGAACTTCAGATTCGTATTCGACGTGGGGAATGTTCTGAAGGTCAGAAGGAATTCCCAGTTGCTGTCGTCATCTTCGGTCTCGGGCTTCAATCTCTTGTGGCGGGATACGCTCTCGGCTTCATGCTCGAATCCGATCAACTGCAAGATGAGACGGAGAAAGAGCTGAAGCTCTCGAATCGTGCACCCGCACTCGTCCATGGTGTACGACCTCTGCAGGAACCATTTGTGTCTGATCACCATCATCATGTCAGGCTGTAGAAGATGCTCCAGACCGTTCAGACAGCTAGTGACAGCTTCGCCGTAGTCGTGTCGGGGGAACGTCAGAACGTACTCCTTATCCTTGCGAACGTCGTTAATGTAAACCAAATTCGCGCCCGCGGACTTCAAGTTGAAAGCAATGTTCTGCGGCCGACTAGATTCCGTCAAGTTCGATGCGGACGAACGCGATCTCCTCCCGACCGGGGCCGACGTGGGCGCCGCAAACTGAGCCGGGGTCAAGCTCTCCGCCCGGACCGGACACAACATGGTCAGTCCGCTGTAAAGGATGAGATTCCCGTCAGCGGACGTCATGACCAACATCATTTGTAGCGATTCGATGTATTCGAAATCGTAGGCTGCGATCTCTCCGGCGAACACGAAGTCGCCGTCGCAGAGCTTCAAAATACGAAGTTTCCGCTGCGGTATCGAGATATAGGCCAGATATTCCTGTTTCAGAAGATCCTGAACCAAACGGACCTTGTCGGCTGGGACGGACGAGATCAACTTGTCGGTGAAAATCACTTCGAGCATCAAATCCGGGAGAACAGGTTCAACGATAACGGTTATGTTCGCGTTTAATCGACTCAGCATGGAAGACGAAGTTGTGGTCCTGTTGAAGGGAACCGAGAACGAGGAGCCTAGCGGGTCGGGACTCGTGTTCGTTAACGAGAAGAGACTAGATCGGTTCGGTGTTTTCATTGGCGTGACGTTTTTCAGCGGTGTCGCCTTCTGGACTCTAATCAATACAGGACTTTGTATCGATTTGCTCTTCGGCGTGTCCGACAGACGACTTCGTAGCGGATACGACATCGCCGGTGTGGACTGATTGGCGGGAGAAACGACCGGAGTCGAAGAGAAGAACGCTGGACTCTGGATTCTAGGCACACTGAGATCCTTGATTTTGAGATTCCCCTGCACCTCGGAGGTGTTCGACACTCGGAAACGGCAGATCGAATGCGTTCTGTCCCGGCTGTTGTATATCAAGACGAAATCTGACAGCTCAGAGCTGAAGCAGATCTGCGATCCTTCGTGGTAGGGGGCCTTGCGATGGAGCGAAATTATTTCCACGGGAGCTAGTTCGTCCAGAGGATGGAAGAGGGAGAATATCCGCGGCATCTTAGAGTCACGGGGCAGCTGACGCTCCAGGAGTATACCTTTGTCGGTTGGCCAGATCTTCTGAACATCGAACGGCATGTGCGTGACGTAGTCTTCACCGTCATTGCTGTACGTATAGAGGAGTTTCGAGTTCGCGTTCAGAGCCGATATGCACTTGATGTGCTTGAAATCAGGCTGCTTCGCGTTTCTTAGTTTTAGCACGGTTCTGGACTTGATGTCTTCGGTGCAATATCTCGCCCAGAAAACATCGTTCCGACCCTCCGGCAGGGTGAAAGTTTTCATGGCTTTGTTCATTCCCACTTTTCCCTCGGTCAACACGATCACGTTATCGTGGAGGCATAGTTCTTCCTCGACGACTTCATCATCGTTGGAAACGTGATATCGTCTCGAGACGGTCGTTCTGCAAAGCGAGGAAAGATCAGTGAGCTCTTCTGGTATCTAAACGAGGCTGCATTGTCATGTTCATAGCTAGGGTTTTCACGTCCAAAACTGAATCAATCGACTGCCGTGGGTCGCTGTAAGTTCTCCAGCATAGTTCTGCATATATTTTCGTTCCTCCCCGATCTGGGTGATCCAGACAGGACATTCGTCCTATCATGCTTCCCGCAGGAACGAAGTCCCATACCAGCCGCTGACACTTTCCCCCGACCACGGGATAAATTAGGAGAGAGATTTCGAAAACTTGTCTTCGGATCACGCACTACTCACTTGTTCGAATCTACTTGGCGCAATCTGTCATTGTCTATCAATAGAGTGTCTTCGATTTTCCGGCATCCCGGGTGCAGTTCCAGAATCGCCCGTCCACGGACTTGTGCCTCCCGTGGCGGAGGGCAACTCAACATGACGCTCGATTTCGCCGCCAGATTGTCTCATACGGCGAACTTCGTCCACATTCAAGCTGTCTATTCTACGCTAAACAAAATTCAGAGGTTTCTCATACGAGAGTCGCGCTAAACCGAACAGCCGACCGTCTATTGTCATGTCCAAACACAGCCAGACATGGCACTAGCGCCTTGACCGCCGATGGCTCGCAGGATTCGGCTGTCGGCTCCATTCAGATATGGATCAAGAATAATCGGTACAATACATTGTTGGAGAAACGACTGATTGAGCAATCCGGCCAGAACACCTCAAAATTCGAGAGGTTTTTCTCCTTCCTGCTCAAATATCGCCCTGGAGAAGTTACGTCGGTCTGCGTTTCCGGAGCTGTGAACGATTCCCGGGCGGGGATCAATGGAATCTCTACAGGCGATTCCTCTCGGGTCCCACGCAAAAATTTTGGAGAAACTTGAATCCTCGGTCGCTTCTCCGGCTAATTCTATACGGTATCAGCTGAGACTACATCTCGAGATTACGTAGAAGGAATGCGGCATTATCCCCACGGGAGAGGCGTCGAGGGAAGGAACGAAATGATCGCCTCGCTGAAGAATCGCTTTTTCCTTGATATTCACAGCGGTGAATGGAAAAACAAAACAGAGCAAGACTTAATGTAGAGCAAAAGTTGAATCGTGAATCGTGACCTATAAGTAGAGTTGCGATATGAGAGGACATTTCTTTCCCGAAAAAAGGACAATGTCCGCGCGGACATCGGGACGGAAAGCGGACACCCGAAGCGAACACTCTATTCTGTGTTTTTTTGCCTTTTCCATGGAATTGATTCGATTGTCCAACCATTTTCCTAATAAGCAACTGAACTTCGATAGCTTAATGATCGTTCAGAGACAATTTGCTGAGGAGAAAATTCCCGACCCAACCCCCGGCGCCTCTGGCTCACGCTTGTGCAGCCGAGACCTCGGTGCCCTCGGCGAAATAATAGCGCAGAAACTCAATTTTTCCTTGGAATTTAGTGGTATTTCTTTGGAAATTCCGGAAAGCGGACATTCCCGAGAAAACCCCGAAAAAGCGGTTAAAGCGGACAAAAAAGGACGTGTCCTCTCATATCGCAACTCTACCTATAGGCCATGGATCATTCGTATCTCGCATACACGGGATTGAGGAGAGAGAACTACTAGGAAATCCGATTCCGGGCGACCCATGACCCCAAGGCCTGTCATCCTCAGGGCCCCGAATACCTGGAAGCCGATTAGAAGTCTAGAGGCGTTCCTGAGGACCCCGGACTCCCCATGAGCTGTACTCGTCCGTCCATTCCCAGACACGGCCGCTGCACTGTAGACCGGATGGCGCGGTGCAGCGGAGAGAGTTCAGTCGTACCGACCTGCGTATCGTGTCATACTTGCCCGGAAAGCGGAGACCGAGTCTCACCGTGAGAATTTCGCATCGGACTCAATTTTTCCTCGTCTCCCACTTCCGCACGGAGCATCGAAACAGATATTGGATTTGGGAAAAAAAGTTCCGTCCGCATCCAGTCTTTGCCTCTTCCTATCCTCCGTGCCTTCATCACCTCTTCGAAATCGATAGATTCGCGGTCCCAGTGTCTGGCATAATCCGGACGCAGCCCCTCAATATTTGAGCACCACACTCAGGCTCCCTGGATGTACTTCGGAAGTTCGAGACTATTGTGTGAATAAATGGTATGCTCATTCCTAGGCGCACACATCTTGAAGAACGCGGTTCTGAGTTTCTTCGAGCTCTGCTTCCGATCACGACGAGATCGGGTTCATGGAAGGCGTAGGGGCCCCGCAATGTTCGACCGCCTTTCCGAACCAGACCCCATGGATGAAGCCCACGATCGCCTAATTGTAAGGTACTACTCGCCAGGATAGACCCAGGGGATGAGAGTACGTGGGTGGACCGAGACAAAATCCGTCGGCAGCTAGGATGGAACCCGCTTCTCCGGACGGAAGCTTTGACGGGAATCTTGGCGGAGTTCTCGGGACTGCATTATGGACATGCCAAATGGGGCATGCACCGTTCAGGCTCCTAGTTTCCCGAATCAATATTGACCTCTATCGAGGGCAGTGGTGATGATCATTTTCGTCGTCGGAGCGGCTGTGAGCTTGTAATTGAACATGAGTGGAGTCACGATCCACGCAAGCTCGAGCAGGAAAATGAACGGAGCGAAATATCTTTTCACAAAATGATATTAGAAGCATTTTAGAAACCTCCGGTTAATTTCAATAAATTGGAAACTACTCCAATCCAATAACTTCATAGAGGGGCTGCCGAGTGCTCGGCGAATGTCCAGTATCGGCTCGGCGGCAGCTCTGAGCAAAAACGTGATGGCTACTCACAATAATATGATCGAATCGGCATTCGAAACCCGAGATCGGGTAATCATGGTAGATCCACAAAGATTCTCTGTTTTCGATGACTACATCAAATCTTCGTCTCACTATGTCCTCAATCAATCATCAAATTCAGTGACCCACTCTGAATAGAGTTGAAAGGAGCTATACCTATAATAAAATATCATAATACGGCGCGTGTTTACTGACTTGGTTGGAATCACGGGAAAGCGTATAAATCACAGAATACGGGATTTGTTGATATCGTTCGGAGACCCTACCTTAAGGTATGTTCCCGCGTGCTAATTTCCGCCGTATCTTCCGGATCCCGGATTATGTCCGGCGGCGACAGTCATTACAGGCATCGTGGTGGCGTTCGGGTAAACTGGTGATGAAATGCATGGACCGCGAATCTTGTCTCAATATGTTCCGACGGAATCGGCGTATCTGTTTGTTGTTGTTCTTGCTCCGTCTGAGATTCTTTCACTTAAGTGTCGTCTGTTACGATAACAAGTCACGCCATTGTCCAGCTGGACCAAGTACCTTCGATGTGGAAGTGTCTCCTGAACCTGACCATGGGTCCTGTCCGTCACTCCCAGCCTGGTTGGGCGAACGCGCACAGCTTCTCCGCATCGCAGCGGCAGTAGCCCGCTTCCCCCCTATCGTATGATCTCTTCATCCTTTCAAGGTGCTGGCGTCTTGCCCTGATCGCGTATCCGTGTGCTTTGATCTCCGGTTGCAACAAGCGCGGTCGGACCGGTAAATCTGTCTTGAACCTGCGGGAGTGAAACATTTGACTCGGTGTGGCTCCTTCTAGTTTCTCCTGCGGCGTGTCGTTGTATGCAATCACTCCCCGCTCCCATTCTTCTTTGGCCGCCCCGGCCCGACGGATGATGCGCTTTATGATGGCTACTGCAGCCTCTGCCTTTTCGTTACTCTGATGGTAGTGTGATGACGACATGTCATGACGGAAGTTCCACTCTCGAACAAATTGTAGAAACTCCGTTGATCGGAACAACGGGTCCGCATCCGTCATCATAACTTCACAGAGTCCGAACATCATGAAGAGCTGCTTGATTCTGCTTACAATGCTCGTTGATGTGGGCCGGTCTGGTAATGGCATGGCGATTACCAGATTGGAGTAGTAATCCACTGTTACGAGGATTTTCTGATTTTTTAATGCTGCGATGTCGAGCCCCACTTTTAGCCTCGGTCTCGTAAGGATCTCGTGAGGGATCATGGATCATGGGCTCCTTCCTGGGGGCGCTCGGATACGTTTGGCATCCAGGGCACTGTAGAATGTGTTGACCTGCTTGATACGCGGCCAAAAGAGGTACGACCTCGCTCTCTGCCACGTAGCTGCCGCCGACATATGCGCATAACATGATCTTCTGATGAACTCTTTCCTCAGGTTCCGAGGCACCACAATCGTGTCTCCACATAGGACTAGGTCATCTTCGACTGTCAGGCGTGCCCTGTAGGCATAGAACTCAGCGACTGCAGGTTTGAGGTTCTTTTTCGACTCTGACCATCCTTGGCGCACGGTTTCTATGAGTCGTCTGTATTCTTCGCTCTCTTGCGCTTGTTCACGAAGGAGCTCGACTGTGAGATCTCTCATCGGCAGAAGTCGCACGATCCTGATCTCCGCTTGGATCCGGGGACTTCCCTTCATTGGACATCGAGAAAGAGCATCGGCGAACTTCATTTCGCGACCGGGCCTGTAAACAAGTTTCGCGTTGTATCGCTAAATATCCAGCAGCATTCGTTGGAGACGAAGGGGAACGTCGTCCAGGGGTTTCTTCACAATGTTTATGAGCGGTCTGTGATCGTTATGCACTGTTACCAACTTCGGATATTTGAAGTATCGAAACCGATTAGGGGCGTACTTGATGGCGAGAAGTTCCTTCTCTATCTGTGCATACCTGGTTTCTGTCGTGCTCATCGCTCTGCTAGCGAAAAACACGGGTCGCCCCTCCTGGATCAGGGCCGCCCCCAGCCCGTCCTTGCTGGCATCAAACTCTATCTCTTCTTCTTTTTCCACATCAAAGAACGCACGGATTGGGCTCCGGCTAACCATCGTCGTCGCCCTCTCGAAAGCGTCCTTCTGTGGAGCTCCCCATTCCCATTCTCGCCCCGATCTGCACAGTTCCCGCAGCGGGCCGAGCACCTGTGTTAGATCAGGTAAGAATCTTGATATGTGAGCCAGCATCCCGAGGAAACTCTTAAGGCCTACGACGTGTCTCGGTGCTCTCATGTCTGCTAGCCGCTTCTGCTTCTCCGAGTCGATTTGAAGACCGCGTTCCGTGAGGATGATCCCGAAGAATTTTGTGTCTGGAGTTCTCAGCGTTGTCGTCTCTTTGTTGAGCTTGATGCCCTTTTCTTGGCAGCGTCGGAGGAATCGGCTCAAGTTCCTGTCATGGTCTCGTTCGGCCTCTTCTAGCGTCTCTCCGCGTCCGCATACCAGGACGTCGTCCGCCAGGGCGTGCGTGCCCTCCAAGCCTTCCAGCAGGTGTACCAGGTTCTTGTAAAATATTTCCGGCGCGACACTCAGCCCGAATGGCATCCTGAGGAAACGAAAACGGCCAAACGGCGTCTGGAAGGTGGTTAGTTGGCTGCTCTCTTTGTCCATTTTGCAATGCCAGAACCCATCGGACAAATCAAATTTTGAAAACAGCTTCACCTTGATCAGGTTCGGGAGGATTTCGTCAAACGCCGGCGTATGGAACACCTCCCTTATTAGAACTTCGTTCAGTTTTCTTGGGTCGAGGCATATCCGGAGATCGCCGTTTTTTTTCCCTTGTATCGCGAGGCGATTCACCCATTGTGTAGGATGATCGACTCTTCCGATGACCTCACGTTTGATCAGCTGCTCCAGCTTCTGTTTCAGCTGGCTTCGCAGGTGCGGTGGCACCGTGCACGAAACGTTGCACGATGGCACGGCATGCGGCTTGACTGTTGGCCTGACCTCGCCCGGGAACATCCCCAGCTCCCCGTCGTAAACCCCCGGATACAGTCGCACGAGTTGCCTCATTTTCTTTTCGCTGTCGCTCTCTTTTCCGGCTCCGCTCATGTGCTCTGTCACGGAATCTATCTGGCTGTAATCAACGCTCAAGATGCCCAATTTCTCCGACGTGAATCGACCCAAGATGGGCTGGAGTTCCTCCCGCACTACTACGAACTCCACCTCGTGTTTCTTGCCTGTCTTCAGCTGTGTCAGCGTTATCTTCGTCTTCCCCAGCAAGCGTAACGTCGTTTCGTCGTAAACTCGCAGTGTCGGTCTGATCGTTGTATTGAGTCGAGCTTGCGGGACTTGCGATATCGGTACGACGTTGCAACTCGCTCCACTGTCGATCTGGAATCGGGTCATTCTTCCGTTATTTTCCCGGACCGCACACTTCATGTAGATCATTCGGCTCCGTTCGGAGCACATCGCATATACATATGAGCTGCAGCTCTTCGTCTGTCGGCTCCGCATTCGCCTGATCAGCGTTAATCGTCTCCACTCTCTGTTGGCGTTTTGAGCACACCGCCGCAAAATGGTTGAACTTCCCGCAAACCGCAAACTGCTTCCCTCTGGCTGGGCAATTCGCGTCCCCCAGACGATGACCTTTCGCGCAGTGCCGACACCGGATTTGGGGGCCATACCCCTGGTTCGCCTGATTGCGACCCTGCCAGCTGTTATTGTTTAGATATCTCTTCGGGCCGCGTCCATTGAATCGTGGACGTCTCTCCGTTGACGCAAATGTGTCTGCTTCGGGGGCGGCGGTACCGTCCCCCTCGATCGTCCGCTCTGTTCGCGGCGCTCCCGCCCTTTGGAAGCTCTTCAATTGGGTAGCCGAATTGTCCATCGCGAGACAAATATCTATGGTTTCCTGGAGCGTCAACTGTTTTTGCTTGAGTAGCTCCCGCCTGGTTAAGCTGCAGGCGACTCCAGCCACGATCTTGTCTCTGAGCATCCTATCCTCCTCTTGGAACTTGCAGGGCTGCGTTTTTTTTCTCAGGTCAATCAGCCATTCAGCGATTGTTTCTGATTGCAACTGGGCTCTCGTCCAGAACACATGAGCTCGGTAATGCTCGGACTCTCCCGCGTTGAACTTTTTCTCAAGCGTTTCCAGTGCTTCCTTAGGCGTTCTCGGCGGCGTTTCGCTGAACGAGTTGTTGTATTCGTCCAGCACAATCCTTCCTCCGAGAACCTTCAATAGAGCCGATTTCACCGATTCTTCCTTGTTTGATTTTTTGTTGCTATCAAGTAGGTTTCGAAGAGGTCCGTGAATCTTCGCTACTCCTCCGCCGATTTGTTCTTACCGGCGATGTCTTCAATGATATCTAGCTTCTCGATTCTAAGCTTCGAGGGGTCCTACTCTTCGTGTGAAGTTCGCGTGGGCACTCGTTGAGTATTCTTGAGTCTACCGCTGCCACCATGTCATGATCGGGGCCCTGAGTGAAGACACGGCCTCGTGCGGTAGATGCTAGACACCAACTTTTCTCTGTGCGTCGTTTATTATGATCGAGACATGTCTGCTTGCCATTACTCCTGCCACTTCCACAACACATCTAACAATAAGGACTGAGGTAACGGGTTCGGCCGCTTGCGCACAGTGCTTCCCCGGAGCGGTTAGCAGACTTGACGCCATCTTTAAGAATAAGTCGGAACTCGGGACTCTCCTTGCATCGATTCCTGGGATTCTCCGATCCCCGAATTCTGGGGAGCAGGAGCAAGGCGTCTCTCGAGATATGCGATTCCCTCCCGCGGAAATTCTGTGCAGAGGAGCGCGAATGAAGTCACCCCTGATCGTTGACGAAGTGCAATCCGTTCGCTGCTCCGCCCCTCTCCACTAGTGCGATTCTCTCCAAGTGTAAATTTCTTCTTTTTTGTTACAACGGAAATTTTGAAAAGCAAAGCGCTGAGGCGTTAACGGCAACCTTACCGACGAGACGTACTCGGAGCTCAGGGCACCGACTCTTAGTGAGGAAGGAGAAGGAAGGAAGAAGACCGAAATTACGTCCGATACATCGGTTCTGCTCAGCATCATCGCCGACCAGAATAGAGAAGTACAATTCTATCTCAGACCGAAGAGAGTTGCCTTCCCCTGAGCCTTCGCGCCGAGGTTAGTTCCAGTTTCCGTATTCCAGCTCCATGCGATATCCTCATTGAAATCAATGAGCACTCGGATGGGGATATTTCTGGAGAAGCTCCCCGCGTTGGATAAGAACTTGTTTCCCACTCTAGTAGACTGGACCTATCGGTGTCATTCGTATCGATAATTTTGCGAGTGAGATATTTCCCCAGGAGAGATCCTCTCGAGAGGAAGAATGCCACGAATCAGGACTGCAGCGTCTTTAGTCGGAGGGAGTTCGTCAGATTTGAATCACCGAACACCACCCGGCCGCCAACGGAAGCCTCGCAAACTGACGGATGCCGATCAAGATTACGTTCCTGGGGCGGCTTCACTCAGACTTCCAGCGCCTGCATGTACGGATGGACAGTGTCCCGTATACCGGAGATCGCTGAGGCTGATTCAGAAGCGTGAAATTCGAGATATCCAAGCTCCGGCCGAAATCTCTGATTGCTCCACGGAATCCGACGCCGACGAGATTTCCGACAGACTATCAGAGATTTCGGACTTCCTCGATCTCGATGACGAGATGCTCGACGGTCTCCATTATTTCGACGGCGTGGATTGCTTGACGGATAGGGAGACGATCGATGAGAACAAGCCAGAAGGGATCCGGTCGGAGAGCCCTCCGATTCCCGAGAGCCGTACTCCCTGGCTCGGACGAAGGAGAACTTCCCTGAGAATCCGTAATTCCACAACAAAGACTCCAAATTCGATCGCAACCCCGAAAGACTTTCCCGTAGCGAGGAATTGTCCGCGAAGAGAGATCAAGCGACGACGAAAATCCTCGAGAGGCATCAAGAGCGTCGACAATACCTGTCCCATTTGTGAGAGGACTTTTCAACAGCTCGGTCATCTGAGGGCTCATTTCTTCCTGCACACTGGTGGGTCGAGTCCGGTCGAGCGATGCTCGAATATCATCAAAAGATCTCATCCTCCGGGGGCGAAAGTCAAATTTTATTTCCATAGAAATCCACGGCGACTTTCTCGTAAAACTAAGTCGGTTCCGCCCTTGCGATATTCCAGGTGAGAAACCCTTTGTCTGCGAAATCTGCGACAAATCCTTCGCTCAATCAGGCCATCTGATCTCACACATAAATAGTCATACTAGTAACCGACCTTATGTGTGCGACTATTGTGGCAAACGCTTCACGCAGAGTGGCCATAAGAGGAATCACGAGCGCGCTCATTTGGGTGAGGCTCCTGATTGCATTGGGGGAATTTTCTGAACACAGCATTTCCAGAACCTTTCAGAGTTCTCGGGAGAGTTGGATGCCATTTTGAGACGTTCCGGGCCACAGGAAGCATTCTTTAGGCACTTTCTTGAGTAAATTGTTTTCTTTGCAATACCAGGCATTCGGCTTTACAAATGTGATCAGTGCGATAAGGCCTTCACTCAGTCCGGTCATCTGGTCAATCACCTTCGGATCCATGACGGCGACAAGCCATACACCTGCGAAGTCTGCGGCAAGACATTCACTCAGTCGGGCCATCTCAAAAGCCATATGAAGAAGCACTACAACTTCAAGAGCGAGTCGCTAGAGTCGCATGATTGTCAATTCTGCGGGAAACAGTTCTCACGGGTAGGTGTCGGGAGCTAGGAGAGCTCGTTATCTCAAGAGTTTTCATGTGTTCACTCGCATCAATCACCGCTGATTCCATTTTTCCCAGAATGAGTTCCTCAATGATCATCTGAAGATACACCGGGATCCGCGACCGTTTACCTGTCCCCGTTGTCCAGCGAAATTCTCGAGCCTGACATTCTTGGGTATTCACGCGGTCCTACATATCGAGCAGGAGTGATTCTATTCGAGGCTGGGTGGCTCCGAGTTCCACTGTCGCGCTATGTACATCCTTTTGAAAAACCATGCGGAGCATTTGATTGAATAAGATCCCTCCTTTTAACCTTATGGAAATGGTACTTAATCCGCTCTCACGCTTCGAGGTTTTAGTGACCAGTGTTCTTGAGCACGGTACGAGAATAGAGATCTTCATTGCTCGCGAATAGTGTTCCTCCGACGATTCATCTCATCGACTCATTCTAGACTTGATTCAACCTGAGGATCCAGAAATGCTGACTTCATGCGGGATCCGCTATAGCCCGCTGTTGACCGACGGGACGTGATGTGTCGCAACGGGGCATGCTCCAGGGCGAGGGGAGCTAGGACATGGAAGCTTGATTCACGGCTTTCGAAAGGATACGGTCGCCTCATCGAGAAGGTTGGATTAATCAATCGTTTTCAGGTCGGAAGCAGCCGCCCGACGCCCTCATGAGAAGTTGTACGGAGGGTCCGGCAGGAATATTCACGTGAATTTAGTTTATTGGGGTTTTCGGTCATACTGATGCCTCCCCGAGAAAATCTGGTTCCGCAGATGGGAGCTGTAAGGATCCTCTACCCAGTTCTGCGATCCGCTCGCAAGAGCTTACCGTGGTACGTGAGAGTTCCTCGTGACTCTTTCCCCTGTCTAGCTGCGAGTTCCAATGGAGATAATTGATCAGGTAAATGAGAGAGGCGATGGGATTCCTGTTCAACAAGATGGAAAGCGATCCATTCCGAGCGAGAGAGACGAAAATTGCAATCGTTTTGGTACCAACCATTGATTTTTTATTGTAACCATCACAAAATATTATGATACAGGAGTCGATAGCAATTGTTTCCACCTTTGATTGAACAAGTTACTCGTTTGTCGTGTCTCATCCGTTTCGATCTACAACCATCATACTCTCGTTATTTTTTTCTGAGTGATCCCCGCGAGAGCCGGCATTTCCGCGCCCAACCCGCTCCGATGAACCACCACGCGCTAGGCGCATAGCAACAACCTCGATTCGGACTGGCCCTAGCTAGTTCCCGGTCTCGAAGCCGGTCGCAGACGCCAAATGGCTCAATCCATAGTCTCCTTGCTTGTGTCGTTCTAACAGTCTACATCGCTGCGGTAGAAGTGTCAAACTCGAAATCCCTGGCCCCTTGAGGAATGAACGGCACATTTCCGAAATGCGATGCGGCCGATATTTCGAGCGTCCCACCGTTCCGATGCCCTCCTCACGGTTTCCGGCACGGGGAAATGTCGGTGTCTTTCGCCATTCATCGACACGGGAGATGAGACTTCTCGCTCCCCTTCTCGTGATCCGGAGTCGTGATCGAGTCGGCGTCCGTCCGCATATTTCATTCAAGTCAAAATCGCCAAGGTCTTGACATTACGTACGCTGCCGGATATCATATTGAATGGGTTATTTGGCACAGATAAGGGGTCCCGGATCTTCCCGCGAAGAATGACGATTATCGACGCTTTGATGAGACCGCGCACTAGAGGGAAACGAAACCAGACGAGCGCAGGTAGCGGGGCGTTCTGTAAACTGACTTCCTACCGATCCAGAAAATGATCAGTCAAACGATCTGGAAGGATACGGGACTCTTTCTCGAAGTATCGATCATAACGGCATGTGCTAAGATTTCATCTGCCTCCGCAAGCCAGGGACTCGGAGTCAGTCCGGGAACATTATTTACAGAAGGTCAGAGACGAAATCGTGACTCCGGTGATTGATTCTCTACCCACTGAATCGCAGCGGGATCTAAAACTCAAATCACACCGTTGGCGTCCCAGCCTACCGAACGGTCATCTTTCGTTCATCACTCTATCGGATTACCTATAATCCCCCCTTCCATTGAATGATCTTTTTCTCAGGGTGCCATCGCTAGATTCCAAAGGTGTCCGAGGAGAGCGATCTGGATCTAAAAGAGGAATTATTATCGCCTCCCGACTCCTTCCGCAACATTGGGGCACAAGTTGAAGTTGAGGGAGAAAACTGATGCGTCCTTCGAATTCTCTGCGACTCGCTAGGACACACCGAAATCGGTGCCTGACTCGGAACGCGTCAGCGTCCTTAGCGAAATTCGGGTCCAGTGTAGCTACCAACGACTCGCGGTAAAACGAGCTCAACAGAATGCGGAGCGGCAGTTGTTCGTGCGCGTTCCTTTGCTCACAACTCACAAACGCTTCGAGGATGCCACACGCGACCGGAGCAGCCGCTGTGAGCCTCGCGTGCCTCTTGAACCGGAATCGTCGTCAACAATGCTGGTCGGGAGAACGTTCCGACCTCGCCAGTCGATCCACCGGTACGTCATATACAGCAGGGAGGAGCAAGATCCGCTCTCCACCCGTATCAAACGTCTACTCATTGGGGCTTTCCGCAGCAGTTGGTTCGTGGACGTTGATTTGTTGTCTCTGTTCTCGAGTATATACATTCACATCAAGGAGCAGCAAAAGCGTGCCCCGCTTTCACCGCCGACTACTTCCGCGCCGCGAAAACGTTTCACGTCAGAGTCATGAAGAATTCCCGTTGGGGTGGGTCCTGCTGGAAGAGGAAGATCCGTTTAGCGTCGAATTTCTCAAAGACCGCTCGGGATGGGGGAACCTAGACCGCAGTCGTCGATTGGAAAACCTGGAATGATATCTATGTTCGAGCCCGACCGATCCGAGGCTCGAATCCAGTTCGAGACAAAAAAATAAACAAGAAGCTATCGGCCATCGCGCGGACCGGAAAACTCGAGCACGAGTTCAGATTCAACATCTTCGAAATTGAGAGTACTGGCGGAAGCTTTTGAAGTCGAAAATCATTTCGGGAGAAGGAACGATGCTAGGTCAAGATCTGAGCCCAATGAAACGCAGAGGATGGGTCAAGAGTCGGGATATGGATGACGTCATCATAAGGCAGAAATGGAGAGATTGGGGGAAGAGTCGAGAGGCATTGTCTGTTGTCGAATTTTCCGAGCGGGACAAGAAGCCAGGCAAGCTCTTGGTTGGTTTCGTGTTCAGCAGAGTTTACCGACCTGTGGCGGCAGGCACAGATGGATAGGCCCCGTTTTCGAGCGCAGTGCAGTAGCTGCTGCGGTTGACGCTAGCGCGCAGATCCGTGCGATGCTTTTTCAGATCAGAAAGCGTCTTCTGCAGGGTGGAAGAGGATCCGGGACCAGGAGCGGGTACGAGGGTGGAGGAGGATACGGGGGGACTGGGAAGGGGACCCTTGGCTGGGCTCGCGGAACTTCCAGACGAGGTGTTTACTGTCACATGGATCTCCACCTTAACGGCTGTGAAGGCGAGAGGCGAAAGCAGCGTTAGAACATGCGGGGACACTGACTGGCTGATGGGCGGACGGGCGGACGAGCGGACGAGCGAACGAGCGGACAGACTGGCTTGCTTGACATGCAAATTGAACAACAGACGCTTCGAATGTACAACTTGAGGAACGGTCCAGGTAGAGGGGAAGATAAGAGAAAACAAACAGAAAAACGACGGGGTCTCTCCAGGACCCCATGGATTCGCTACGATTATAAGAAATCATCGCGCGGAAACTTGCGGACATACCGCCCGCTGACGCAACCATATCGAGGACAGAGGGCGTCGTGATCACATCTTGTATAAACATGTTAATCGCGGAAATATAATATTTTCGAAGGAACATACCTTCGGGACTCTTTGGTGCCGTCGTTGTCGTGGTAGTCGCGATCGTCTCGTAGGTGTGATTGGGCTTACCCTGCACCACCTCTTCGTATCTTGGCGGGTTCATACCTAAGGGCATTTCCAGGGACTCCTTGATCTGATTGTTGTTTGCTGCAAAATCGACTTGGTCCCCGGCGGATCGTGTGGCATCCACCCCGTTCGGGAGGAGTTTGTTACTGTTCGGGGAGCCGCTCGGCGAGTCCTCCTGCGTGCAAAGAGGGAAAACATGAGTTCGAAAAATATCTTCTTCTCGGCCGAGAATGGACGGGAACCACAGGAGAAAACTTCGGATGCGGAGCTCATTATCATCGACCCGCAGAAAAGAAGAACTTCGGACCTCGTCGTTGGGACGGCTGTTGGCACTGTTCCGGTTCTGTTCCTGGCGTATTCGAGCCTCTTCGATCGCCTCCCGTCTCGAGATCTTGTTCTTCTCGCGGATGCTAGTCCGCCGCACACTCTGACTCCGAGTGTTTTGACTGTGGCTTCTCCGAAGTCTTTGTGACAATTGTGACAGCCGTCTGATCTCCATCTCATTACGGAGTTCTTTGATTCTCTCTTTCAGCTCGGGATCCTCACATATATCTGTGAAAAATTATGCGGATGAGAATCCAACCCGGAACGCGCTCTTGACCGTGTAAGGACACCGAATTGTGGGAAGTAGTGGAAATTAAGTTCTCAATGCTCACCGTAAGGGGTTTCACCGTTTTTCGTTTTCGCGTTGAGATCGGCACCGGCCTGAACGAGGACCTCCACAGCATCCGGCTGAGGAAAGATGATACGATGATTAATCATCACCGTCGGGAATGACAGACAGATGATGATTGGAAGATCATGAGAGATTATTCGCTCGCGATTCCGCTTCGATTATTATCGGACACACGATTGAGTCAAGTTGAGCGCATTTATCAAAGCGTGGTGGATCGCGGATCCGGAAGAGGAGACTTCGGGAAATGAGGATCTTCCGGTCCGAGGGTTCAAGAACGGCGAACTTGGAACCGGCGCAAAGGTCGATTGTATTTTATGAATCTCTCGGGATAGACTCCTCGGACGTGGCACGCGAGAAAATCATGCGTCGCGTAAGCTACAAGCTCCCAGGTGCTCGGCAGGTCTTCTATACGAAAACAAGTTCCAAAGTAGAACACCAGTGCGATGCGAGTTGAACGCATCTGCCATGAATCACGGGATGAGACCCACAGGACCTCTCCCGATTGGGTCATGAAATGAGGAAGCCTCCGGGTCGAATGGAAGGGGAGGCTGGGAAGAAAAGACACGGACGGAGAACGAGGAGAGATGCGATTTCATCGCGGAGCGGAAACATTCCTCGACGGTGAGCTCTTGCGGCGACGAAGACTCGTTGCTCTCTTGACTCTTTCGTTTTTTTGCGGTTTTTATCGTTCTTCCCCATCCTCGCGGGCTCGCTGCCATTCAGTAAATCGCTATTTTCCCTTGCTCGATCGCTTTTCTGTGAAACTTTGTGAAGACCGAGGCCGCTGGTCGCTGCGACATGACACCCTCGAAACTCCAGGGCTTGTTCACTCTCTCTCGACCGGGGACCGCGCGCTCGGGGCCGCGGCAACTATCGATATCGCCGGGAGAAGTGAGGAATATTACGAGAACGACACCGCCATCGTCTAAGTCATTCGTTTCATGGACCGCATCGAATTGAAATTGCAGGCGGAATGTCGATCGATTGTTTTCAAAACAAGCCCACGCATCCCGATGACGGGCTCCCTCGAGGGAGGTCACCCGAACTCCGAATTCAGGTTCATAGTCGAGCCGTCATTGTGCGCCCACGCACGCGAACCGTGCGATATCGGAGCTAAATCGCGACATTTTTTCCCGTCCAGGGGAGATATCCGAATCTGGCGTAATCGAGACGCGCAGAGAGGATGACTAGCAGCGAGGCACGCCGAAGGACGGGGTTGATAAGGAAAGAACGGCAACGATCGAGGGGAAACGGAAAATCCAAGCTCGAGGAGCTGCGTCCCCGCGGCGCGTCTCCAGCCCCAGGAAAGCATACCGAGAGCGGGATCCTCCCGACGCATACTCATGCCGATGATCGATACCGGAACGATTCGTGTTTTCTTTGAATTCGAGCCCGATCGAATCTCCACCGGGCAAGCGCGATGCATGCTCCCAATCATTGAGCAAAGGATCCGATGGGGACTCGCTCCTCGCTTCGTTCGGGCGCCGCGCCGGCCGTATCAGGACCCAGAACCCCGGAGCTAGAATCTCGTTGACCTGGTTCCTGATACTACATATTTTCTACATGATGTGTTTCCGGTATGCTCCACGATCGACGGATCCGCAGAAGGTTGTGAAGGAATTGGATAACTTACGTGACCCCAGCATGCAGCGGCATGGATCGGTTGCCAAAGGTCGCAGTCGGCGGCATCGGTGGCCACTCCGTTCTCCAGAAGGAATTCCACCACTGATATGTACCCGTTCGCTGCGGCAATATGGAGCTGAAAACGAAATATATCAATAAGCGAGTCAGCCGACCGAGAGCCCCCGAGAGAACTCGAGAATTCACACATTGTGTTTATCGGATCATTTCGCTAAGGAAACGGGGCTTAACGTCACGCTTTTCAGCCTGTGGGGACCCGCCGATTCTCCCCCCCCGTCCTATTTCTTGGGAGGCGTCGGAAGGGGCGAACTCGAGACTTTAACCCCTCGTTCGAATGAAGAACGGGAGGCGTTCGAGGACAACTCCGCGCAAGAGTTTGAAAAAACTCAATCAAAACGTTTTTATTCACTCTTCTAGAGTAGATCTGGGTGTTTAAAAGTTTGAAAAAATTGACTTCTGCTGAAGCTGGTGGAGCTTTGCTGGCCAGATGCTCATTCATAATAACCTATGATTCTGAAGATTGTTTCAACATCGCATAGGCGACCGAAAAGGACTCGAAAAATCAAGATATCTCACCGGTGTAGCGAGTTGCTCGTCCTTCCATTCTAGATCACCGCCTCGTGCTTTATGTTCTTTCAAATCTTTCAACATTTGCATTTCAGCAGCTGCTCGCGTCGTATCGATTGTGTTCTGAGTGATTCCTCTCTTCGCCATTTCCGTCTCTATGTGATCCAGGGTCTGTTCGTCTTCACAGATGTCGTACGGCATGTTTCCATCTGCATTAACGGCAAGAAGGTCCGCTCCTCTGCAGAATGAAAAATTTTTCTCGAGATAATTACAATCGTCCGGATCGGGCTACACCTTTTGTGTATAGACATAATATCGAGTCTGGGAGTCCGAAGAATTCGGGGTCCGGGCACGAAACCCGCCGTTTCGACTCCGTGTACGTATCCGACCCTGACGGAAGCGGCCACAGGTATGGCCGCCGTGGAAGCGAACGTCTTCGGAGACAACGACATCGGCAAACGAGAAGAGGACTTACTTGAGAATAAGATACTTGACTAGGTGTATGTGCCCACAAGTGGCAGCTGCGTGCAGAGGAGTCCACTGCTCGGAGTCCTTCGCGTTAACGTTCGCCCCGAACTCCAGTAAGAGCTTCATCATCTCCTCGCTGTCGTCTATGCAACACTGGTGCAATGCAGTGAGACCGTCCTCGTTCGTCGAATCCGGAGACACGCCCATCATTAAAAGACGCCGTACTGAAAGGAAGAGAAAGCACATCATTTACTTAACTTGCCATGTGAGACCAAGGAAGACTTCGTCCCGGGCTCTCCGGTGGTCAGGTCCGTTCGCCTACATTACGTCCCATCGCTATTCTCCTCAGCAAGATAAATATCGTCCCTGATCGTCGGTCGTTCACGCTGCTGCTGCTGCTGCATCCGCGGCGGGAATCGGAGTCGCGACATACGTCCGCCGCGACGGGAACAGCACAAAGTCTCACATTCACATTCTATTAAGTGGCTGCGTTTTACGTAACAGTGTTGGAGGAGTGATCCATTAGGAGACACGCTCGGTGGGAACGTGCGAGTCAGACAACCGTCTGGACGCCGACGGCCGGTCGTCAACAGAACGACGATTCCCGTTAGAGGCCCTTACATTCCACTTCGGGCAAAGCAAGGCAGCAGCAGCAAAGAGAATGAATAGACATCTGGGAAAAAATGATAAAACTCTCCCTCGACGAAGATTGATGAATGTCTAAGCGAAGCGTTCGTTCACGTTGTTTCTCGCACGGTCGAGCCGAGAGAGCTACTCAATTGAACAACTTCAACGCAGACACCCTCGTGAAGGATCAAGTAGTGTAGGAACAAGTCTTCCGACGATACATAAATATTCGTTCGCGTGAAAGAAAATCACAATCGTAAGGTTTCATCGTCGAACATTGCTAGATGTTCCGCGCTGATTCCCCATCCGGGTCTCTCATTAGATTCCAAGAGCTGGGAATGTTCGCTCGACGACTTCCACACAAGGAATGAGAAGGGTTGAGCAAGCACTGTAGTCGTTGGTGGCCGGGATTATATCGAAGTCCCCGGGAGGGGAGTCTGTCCAGAAATAACTCGCAGCACACCGATCGGAGGTGGGGCTCAGGCCGGCAGGAGCCCGAGTTCGCGCACCGTTAGCAACGAGTCAGCTGAGGAGGCGGAGGGGAAGATAGTAGGTGTTGGTGCAGGACAAGTCAGCTGCTCCCGCGGCTGGGTGAGCGTGTACCCATTGGGGCAACAGCTCCGTCGCAACCTGCTGGAGGAGATCTTGTAATTGTCGCATTTCTAAATTTAGTCCTCCGAGCGAGACGAAGGACGCGACGGCCAAGAGCAGCTGTCGCTTTGTATTCACGCCTGGCTGAAGGATCACATGATCAAGGCTGCTGCGTTCGATAACGCAGATTCTGCCAGAGTCCAATCGATCGACGCCGTGTACCGGGCATTCGAACCCGAGGCGGTTCGCATGGTCCGCCGTGGTCGGACACCGCGGTGATTCTGGACTGATAGGCATCGCAAAAGCGACGCGGTAAATATGTAAGATGTCACATATGGAAACGAGTGAATCGACATTGCGTCGGAGATCGCGAGGCTAATCTCGGAGACGTCGCATTAGCGCCCCCGGACGGCCGTCGACCCACCATCGTTCCCTCGATAGCTCGTTATACGCTCACAACGGAAAAACGTTTTACGAACGGGAGACAGGTGCGCCCGGAGAGGACGGGAAAATTCTCCCGCTTACCTCGATGAATAATAATCGGAAGACCAAAAGACTTTTAACTTCCTTGGAGGTGGACCTCGATGAGCGTAGGTGTACTCGCTCCCGAAAGCATCAAACTACCTAGTACTGTCGAGGCTTTGTGATAAATCTTAACACGGCACGCCGCCGAGAGGTGAAGTGACGAAAAGTGTCGCCGCGGTGACAAATGATGCCTCTTCCCGACGGATACGCGCCGTACATTGCGTTAATCCATGCGTAGGAGAGATCTGCTGAGGTTGAGCGATAAAGAGAGCGGACAGAAGCATCAGCATAAGCTTCGCTGAGCTCCATTATCCGTCCCAACGGAAAATCGCAGGATTTCGCAGCGATTTGGAAGTACCGTCGCTGCAGTCAAGCGTCAGAACCGACCGAGCTGTATCTAGGAGCTAACTCATCCGTGCTTGCACAGAAGTACAGAAGCATGATCCGCTCGTTCGGCGGCACAGGTGAGGTCCTGGACAGAAGACGAGTCATCCTAACAGCAGTCAGGTGTACTACCGAAAGGAAGTCTGACGCTCAGGAGCAGCAGAAGGCTCTAATGGACACAGACCTAAAGAGCTCACTAGCGTCCGAGTTGACCGATTGGTCTGCCGGGCGGCTGGAATCAAGCAACGACCAAGCGTCCGAGCGAGACGGGGGACCGACAAACGGACGAAGGGACGAACCATCGGTCATTTCTGCGTCCATCCAATCAGGGATGAATATCGCACTGAGAGTATCGCATACATAGAGCTCTTGCTGCGATGGCTCCTCTTTCTTCTCGCTGGATTGCCGCTGGTCCGTGCTGCGCCACGGCGGTGGCATATATGGTTCGGCCGCAAAGGAATAAGGGATCCACGCCGACCATCAAACTCGGCCATGTGTGGCAAAAAGGAGGATGGACGACGAGCGAGAGAGCTCCTAATGGACGTGTATACTTTGACGACGGCTCGCTCGCTTTCTATCTCTTGATCCATAACTAACCGTCGGGACCTTAAACGTCAGCCTCCGCACGACAAAAGTTCGCAGCGGCGTTGTCTCCGCAGGTTCTAGTCCAGTCGTAGTGGTTGCGACAGAATCTTAGAGGTGCAAGACGCGGGGTTTGAGAGCACTCGTCCGGTCAGAAGCTCATTCCTTTTCAATCATATCGGAGCGATCTCCGATCAGAGACGTCCCGCGTCTTCGTCCACGAAGCCACGAAACGATTTTCTGATCGATGAACTCAGGCTGGTCCCACTGCTCGGAATAACCGCCCACCTTTCGGTCCGAGCGGGGTCAACGAGGGCGAAACTATCAGAGGAACACCAAACAAGTCGGTCCGCTAAAAACCAGCGATTCCGCGATATATCGATGCGTCGTCGGATAAAAAAGAATCGTACCGGATTTTTGTCCTCGAAGGAAGAACCGCTACGGACGACATTGGATTTCCGCCCGAGCCGCCTCAATTTTACAATCGTATCCGAGACTTAGATGAGGTGGTGGAGGTGGCCGTGGGAGTAAGGGAAAAAGCGAGTCGGAGTCTGTCGTGAGAGTTCTCCATCGGCTTCGCTTTTCCCTCGATTCTATATGGAATTCTTCGAAGACTCCGACCGGGAAATTCCATTTGAACAAGCTTGCGACGGAATCGCACAACCGGCCCACGAGAAACTATCTTTGTTCGTGCGGAAACGAGCTCTCCGACGTACTATCGCTCGAACGCAGAATTCGAGAGCCCTAGAGTTATACCGCTTTTGCGCACATACGGACTTCCGGATCGTCTCTGTCGCGCCCATCCCGAGCTGGAATGAGGCAGATAAGTTTTGAAGACCGAATGATACATCCGCGCTAGCCCCGACTGGGAAAGCGAGCATGAGAGAACCCGTTGCGCTCCCTCTCCCGGGAGGTAACGTCCCTCGTGGGATTACTGGAGTCGCCCAGATCAGGTCCTGTGCTTATTTACGCTGTCCAGCGATTATGACAGACGGTGGACCAGAACTATCGCCTTCGTGTGACTTCAGATGAGGATTTCTGTTTTTTCGTCGTGTTTTCCTCCACCTGTCTCCTGCAAGACGCATGATCATGAGGTCTCGCTACCCCTAGTTTAGATCCCTCCCAATTGGCAGCGTTATTTGCTTCATCGTGAATTGTGAACCTCCATGAGAAGGTTGAGCCCTTCAGATTATTTGTGACAAGGGATCAGTCATCCGAAAGAGGTCTCACCCAGAGTTCCAATCGCAAACAGTCACTCGGATAGATCTGAGAGGCGTTGAAATGTTTTGTGGAGGAACTCGATTGCTTTGAAAGGTTTTCACGAAGAAAACGTTGGGGAACGAGTTTCAAACACTTTACCCTGAATAGATCCCTCTCTGGGCGAATCCCAGTGAAGGGACAGAGCAGCCTTCAATCGGGAAGCTCGTAATGCTAAAACCCGATTTAGGGTTTGACTGGCTCGAAAGGGCCTTTTTTCTATTAGCGGATGGAGTGGAACGATCGGGGACCCGAGGGAGGGGGGGGGGGGCGGATCTGTCGACTTTCTCCAAGCTAGAGCATTCCAAGACTCGAACATCCGCAAACCACGCAAAGCACATTCGTTCGCTTGATTCTTGGAAGAACGAAATTAGGGAGAAAACACTTCGATCCGATGGACGAGTATCGATGATCCTTAAAAAAGTGAGACGATACTTCTAGATCGTCTTCCGTGTCCGTCGGCGACGGTCTCTACCTATCAAAGGAGCATTCGACTATCACGAGGCGGGTTATTTTTAGCGAGGATTTGTTCATGTCGCATGATCATCGATATCCAATCGGGAGGAAGACGCCTCAGCCGTCCAGAGACCAGAGATCAAAGCTCGAGGGATGTTCTCCCTCCAGATGGGGAGAATCGCAGACCTCTTGGAAGCGATTCGAAATCGACGGAGGAACGCTCCAAGACACAACCGGTAATTCCGATTCACATCGAGCCCTTTGGAAACTCTTCAATCGATCGTTCGAACCGGCTGGGTCCTTGGTCTTTGCCCCGAGTCACGAAAACATCTTAAGACAACGCGGACACTTCTCGGAGTTTTGGGAGAGACTTCTGCTTCAACTCCCTCCCACCGCAACCTGGCGGCGCGACGTCAGAGTACGATCAAGGTCCCAGATTCATTCCTTAGGCATAATGCTCAGGGTCTCCTTACGGGGAAGCCCGGAATGATGCGCTATAATGTCCCTGAATGATCCTCTCCGAGTCGTTCCCTGTGTGCTTTTTCCTACGGTCCATGAGGCCTCTCGTTCGATCCGCTCAAGTTGAGTAGCCATTGTTCAACATTTCGGGTTTTTAGTCTAGCTGAAATCATCCCACCAGGTCTCTGAGCGGCAGTCCTCTCCCATCCCAAGCCCGACCAAAAACCCACAGAAGATGACCATTGTCCGCGGCGACAAGACCGAGCAAAAGTTCCCTCCTGGATCCTGACTTTCCATTTCTCATCCACCGGGAGCGCCTCGAGCGCACTCTTCAGAAATCTGA